CTTAATTTCTTTAGTTAGTACTGAAGCAATGATAACCTTTACAGAGACCTCATATTGGCCAAAGTAAAGGACTCTACACAACAGTAAAAATTTCTCCATTGCCATTCTGGTTTCAGGCTTTCTTGATGAAATTCAAAGAAATCTCATTTACATCATGTTAGGAAGTTAGGTCATTGTGCTTGTGTGGAACGGAATATTTGCTGTGCAATCAAACTTGATCACATGAGATCTTTAAAAATGAGCAGATTAATTTTTTCAAAATTTGAAATATCAGAAACCATTTTTGTTGACAAGCTGAATGACAATGGAAGAAAACACACCAGAAATTTTTTGTTTTCAGTCAGTATTCAATATGATTCTGAGAATAATTTTTCCCTTGCACTCTTTCCTACTCTCTATGCTACTGCAACAGAGGGTGTCCCCTCTTAAACTTGGCTAGCATGAGAGCATGGAACCAACATATGAGAGCATGGAACCAACATACTCAGTCCCACTTTGTGTTACTCTGAGAAAATGAAGTTGCTTATCCAAAGCAGATCAGCAGCCTCTGACAGCCAGAGGGCAAGGATCACATCACTTTGAGAGTCTGAAGTTCACATATCATATGACAGTGACTTTGAATATTGCTGCCTTCCAGACAGAGCAGGTGGTCACTGAAGAGAGCACAGCCTCCCAGCTCAACAGAAGTCATGTAATAAGGAAAAGACTGCATGAAAAAATATCCGACACCTCAACACTGGCATCCCAGATGAATTTCCACCAAGGTAAAGAAAGATTTATAAGCTGAACTCTCTAATAAGGATACAGACAGCCTTTTCTGTGTCTTTCCCAAAGTAGATGGATTGTTTAATTTCATGCTGTAGTGATTACATGTAGTGTTAGATAGGATAGTTACCGCTGTACATATAAATTACTTCATAATGGAAAGACTCTGAGGCAAGTCAGTGAGGTTTCTTTTCCTTATTTCCACAAAGGACAGTAGTCTCAGGGCTGTGAAGCAACGATAACAAATCAGCTTGCACAGATTTGACTCTTAAAGCACTTAGCATAAAACCGGTGCATATAAAACTACTTTCAAAACTGCTTTTGTACTTTGCATACTCCAGTGTATTTTTGAAGGTGGGGTTCTGTAAGGTTATCTTCCTGCCATTAAGGAATATATATTCATCTTTCTTATTTGATTATTCAAGCAAAGATTTGTGGCTTCTTTTTTTGATTTAGGTTAGTTTTCTATTGAAAAGATGTTTTATAAATTCACACAGGAATTGCTGGAGGGATTTCAAGACAAGGCCAAATCCTGCTCACTATATAAACAAAATAGTATATATCAATATTTTATTTAATTTGATTAAGATTTATTATCCCTCAGAGTAATTCTATAACTGTATCTTTTTCCTAATGTCTACACTGTACTGTTCACTTTGACAGAGATCTCTGATTTTGTAGCAAGGGGAAAGCTGGCCCAAGCTACACAGGATTTTTTTTGGATATGCTCAGCATTAGGCATATGAACAATACAATTCCAATTCAGCAAATCGCACATATGCTCCATGAAATCAGCCAGAATCAAACACAGACCTAAATATGTCTGGAACATTTCTATTAGGTATTATTGCTTATAAGAAAAGGGGATTCTTTTGGAAACATACAGACAAACTACCCCTCAAGACATATTAGTTCACTTACTCAAGAGCTGAGCTTGTAGATTCACACTTGCAAAAGTAGATAGAAATTCTGCTGCTGCCAAAAGGGATGGCCCCATTTTCAACCCCGTATTAGCCACAAATTCCTGCCAGTTTCCTTACACTGGTTCTAGGGATTATGTATCTGGTGTGATCTCTGTGTTTGCCCGTGACTCAGGTCACTTGACTTAAACTTGCCAAAGGATTTCAATGAATTAGAGTGTCAATTATATTGAAAATGTGTGAGCTGCACTTTGCAAGACAGCATTCCATTTCTTCCTTTTTTTAAATTAAAAATTATGCTTCAGAGATTCTGTAAAAGGACAAGAGAGAATGAAAACAAAGTAAAATCGTTGTGCAAGAAAAATATGTACATCCTAATGAATTAGGATGACCCATTAATGGAATTTCTGCATTTGACTCTGGTAGGCATTTGATTCTGTTTGGACATTGTCCAACCTGCACACAGAAAGAAGAAGTTACAGCTCAAGGTTTTGGACCTCAGAGTACAAGGAATAAGAACTTTGCAGGTTATCTGCACTTTGCAACCTTTCAGTTAAACATATAGAACAGAATTAATGTATTAGACTTGTTTTATATGGAATAGTGGAGAACTATGAAAAACAATTTTGGTGAGAATAAGATCATGAAAATAATAGAATGAAGTTTCCAAGATTTCCTCAGTCTTTAAGGAATTGGAGTCAGGGTTAGAATACAGAAGGATGACGACTATATAAAAATTAGCCCATCCAAATGTTATTTACATTAACATGCAAATACAATGAGTTATAATAAAAGTATATGATTCACCACATTTCCTTCCTGTTTCCAGACAAAGGGCCCAGATTGATGAACTATAGTCAGTCAACAGAAGATTACAGACAACTCTCTGTGGATTATAGTGACTCTAATAGTATTTCTGAAAGTACATCTTTGATACTGTCTAACCGAGGACATAGGAGAGGTAAGATTCTTTAAAAAGATTATGTTTGTGAATAATGTATTCATCTCTTTTGTCCCCTGAAGTGTGGGACTGACCATGTACCAATTGATAGATATTCCTATGCAACTTGTGGTTATGTGACTTGGGAGGTATATTTGTGCTAAATTGTAGAGCAGAAAGATACTTTTATATTAGATTCTTTTTCACTTGTGTCTGACAGTAAAGCTATATATTCCCTGGTTACCATTTAACCCCATCAGCTCCTTCTTGCTTCATGCCCCCTTTCCAGGTAAAGCTGCTCAGCAGGTCACAAAGTTTGACATTATGTTTTTAGCACATGGGGTCTTGACACAGAAAAGGTGGAGCTACCCCTCAAATGCAATGTGGTGGGCAATGTCAAGATGCCAACTCCAAAATCAGTTGAATCTATAAATAATACCTAAGAGTGAATGTTCTATGAGGACATAACTCAGAGAGAAATTATGCACATCCTGGGAAAAAACCCATCATGTCTTAGCCTCAGCCGTAAGCCCTCAGCCCAAGGATGAGGAAAGTGAGGTTACTCCTGTTAACGCTCTCCTCCTGCAAGGTGCTCTTCTGAAGCTCCAGAATTGCAATCAATACCAGCAGCAATAAAAACCTGAGACTGCAGCTGCTCCATGAGTGACACACATGCATGAGTCACACACACGGTCGCACATAGTGAAGGTAAAGTCAGAATAGAAATCTGTTTTGTAAGCAGTTTAAAAAACATTTTGGTCATAAACTTGACAAAGGCTCATTGCAGTGACTTTGTGCATATCTCAGTCTCCACTGAAACACTGGTAGCTGTGCATACTCAGGACTTTGTAAGACAGGATTCTAAAAATACATGAGTAAACACAGAATGTGAGAGCTTATTTGTCACAGGCATTCTTTCATGACATAATATATTTTAAAAAAAGCATTCTTCTATGAAAAGAAATATTACCATCTAGTAGAGTGCCATTATCAAAGGAGATGAATATCTCTATCAAAACTCTACATCAGGAGCTCCTTTAACATATAGTAAATCTATGGCATCAACTTCTTTGAAGAATACACATTAATTTAATGTCAGGTGTGTGTTGGATTTGTGATCAAAGCATGGCAGTCTGGCCACTGAAAGTAGCCAAGTTGTCCCACTGCTATAACAGCTGATATAGAAAGACTAAGGGGAATTTTATCGTCTTGTCAAAATATATTTATGCAATTATATTAAAACCACAGTGCAAGCAGAGAATTTTATGAGGTTTTCTCGTTAAAAAGCATGTTGCAGGATTGAATCTTAACTTTGGTAACTAGCTTATCTCAAATCTCACATTTTGTCACTACCATCTGCAGCTTGAAAAATCCCCACATGTTTATGCTTATTTTAGCAATGGGACTGTAGATGTTCTAAGTTTCAAAATTGCAGTTGGTTGGTTGGTACACTAGAATTCAGTGTCACGTTTTCATGTTGCAATTCAGAGTGAAGTCTCAGGGTGTAGTGCATGAATGTTTTATCAAAATTATTCCCCTTCCATGATAAGCTTCCACACAGCTTATCTTACCACCTCTATCATGCTACTTATGTAATAGTTTGATATGCAATTCTTCAAATAAAATCAATGAAATGATCCAAGTGAACAAAAATTTAACCTTCTCACCCTTCCCTAAAGATTGCAAACATCTCTGCTGATACAGGAAACATTCATAGAACTACCACTTGAATAACCCTCTCTGGTTCTCCCCCTAAATTTCAACCTTCATCTATTTGGCCAAAGCACACCTGTCCATTTTGTAGCCACAGAGATGACTGAAGGTGAAAAAAAATGCAATCCTTATTTGCTAAGGACCTACAAACCATCCACTGCTTCTACCATGTTTTTATGTTGTAAAAACATTCACAATATATTTAACACAGAAAGAAACCAGGGGAATAGACACCATCATTCTCATTTCATTGATTTCATATTCTACTCTGATTAAGCCAGAGAAGTTTCATGTCTTTTTCTGCCCATTTTATGCCTGAAAATAGAAGAACTAAAATTGGGCATAATTTCTGAAGAGAAAAAGCTGATTCACAAATTACCCCCATAGAGATGGACATGACAGCCATTGTACCTATACAGCTGTTTTCCAAATTACAGTCACATAAAGGGTTATGAAGAGGAAGTAACAATAATTAGGGAACTGGGAATACTGCTGGTGTAGAATTCACTAATCCTATTACATAGCCATTTATCATGTCCAAGCAAGGACACAAGAGAGGAAGCTGCCAGTCTAAATTTCTTCCCTGTTGTAATTGTCCCAACATGTGATGCTGAGTGCTGCTACTATTGCTTGAATATTGAAATTTCCTTTATTTATTGCAGGAAGAGTTCCAGAGACACACAGATCATGTGACACCACACTTAGTGGATCAAGGACAGAAAGCAGCTACAAGCTCTTCATAAACAGGTGAGCTCAATTCAGATTCTACAAGATGGAAGCTGTTTTATAAGCAAGTGAAGCCAGGAACTAGTGTGGCAATGACATATCAGAAAAGGCCTGAATTGCATTTGAGACTGTTTTGCTTATAGATACTATTTATATAGAATAACTAATAAATACATATTATTCTATTATGTAGAATAAATAAATAATATTCACCTATACTTGGTTTGGTTCCAAGTGGAACAGTCCAAAAGCTCCAGTGAATGGAACTTGGGCCCTGCACAATCCATACCAAACAAATTCAGGATTTCCACATTTACTCTGCACCACTGTGTCCTGCCAGATGCCACAGGCCCCCCAGAACAGCTGCCCCAGCTGTGTCTGCACCAGGCAGGGAAGCAGCACTAGCCCTCCCTCTGTGACTGAAACAGATGGGAAGCTGCTCCACAGAGACTGTGAAAGGATGGATTTGATGATCTTAGAGGTCTTTTCTAACCTTACTAATTATATAGTTTATTAAGGGAAAAATATGTTGAGAAGGTATGAATAGTCATCACTTTTCGTGTCAAGGCATTCTGTCAGAGTCCTTATTTGTCCACATTCAGATTTTGGATGTGGTCTTGCCTTGCTGTCACATTAAAGCGCTGTCACACCTTAAGTGTTCTGGAGTGGTTATGTCAGACCATGTATGTAATGTATAATTTTCATTTGCATTTCCACCTCAGTGCTTATACTGATTTCTCTCACTTGTGTCAGTCATACCCAGCCCTGCACCACCCCTGTACTGGAGAGTTGCAGGTAACCCAGGGTCACCAGCAGTAAAGACCTCTGTTCTGTCATGAGGATTAGCCTCATTTGAGCCATGGCATGGACAGCAGCCCTGTAGACACTGGCAAAGAAAACTGAGGATTGTGCAGCTGATGCTAACTCCTTTCCAAAAGCCAGGGAAACTCCACTGCTGCCAAACAAGAGTTTTCTAGGCTGGTGTTAGCACAGTGCAGCTCTAGTCATGGCTGCTTCCAAAGGAAGAAGAGATGTAAGTACTGTCAGCCTCTAGGCACCACAAAGACCAGAATCCCACAGTTAAGCACCATGTAATCCCTACAGACATCTCATTTAAATTGGGTTCCTGACCCAGTTAAACAGGAGTTTCTTCTTTTAACCATGACACAAGTAATTCAGGCCCACAGGAAATGCTCAATTTAGATCAACTCCCAATTAAATGTGTCCCAAGTAAACAGTTTGAACTTCCTGATAAATCAGCCATGATAATCTGGGCAATATGAGATATCCCAGTACACCTGTAAAACTGCAACAAGAGATTGCAGGATAGTGGCTGCTTTTGTCACGAAAGAGGTTTCTGTCTACTTGTCTAACTGCACACACACACTTATATTTATACATGTGTTCAACAGCATCTATATATGCTCACATGGAAAACACCATTACTTTCTACATTAAAACTATAGTACAAAGACAGCTTTCTGATCTGAGATTTCACACACCTTTTTCTTAATTAAATTGAAAATTCCCTCAGTTCCCTAGGACGTTAATTTATCCTAATGAATTAGTATTCAAATAATTTAATTCCCATTCTTGGAAAATTCTGAATAATGTAACAACAAATGTTAAGGCTTTATGAAGCTTTTTTCTTGAGAAAATAATAAATTAGGAATTTGCTTCATCCTGTAGAATTCACAGAAGGGAATGAGGCTACAGTCTTTGCCTATTAGCTTCATCAAAGTTAAACCAGCTGGATCTGGCTCACCAAATGAAGAAAAGAAACAAAAACAAACCTGACTCTATTGAATCAAAGCAGAGTTACGATTTACGTATAAAGGGCACCAGTAATATTACTCCTGTTAAATTATTTCTCTTTTTCTCTAAAGAAACATCAAGGAGCTTATAGCAGACATTGCCCTGGACTTCATAGTATTCCAGTAGTTACTGTACCTTAAGCTCTCTGTCCCCAGGTCGCTGTTGTGTTGACTGCATGTTTTATATTTTCCTCACTATGCATTTCCCTTGGAGGTCGGTGAGTGCTGTAGAAGAAATCCCGGCTGGAACTCAGAGGAACGGCCGACAGAACCTGCTGAGCTTGGGCTCCACCTTCTCCGTGTCCACAAAGGACTACTCAGCAGCTGCTGCGTCACAGAAATGCTTCTTCCACAGGAAGGAAAAGGTGAATGGTGAAAAACATATAAGCTGATTTCAAAATGTAAATATCACTAAAGAGAAGCCTCTCATCTAATTTTTGTTTGACAGTGATGTGCATAATAACTACTGACTCATCTTATTAGATGAGTATTCTAAATTGACAGACTCCAAATTAGGCATAATCCAGTTGTGCTGTCAGAACTGAAGGCAGTGAAAGCAACTGTCCGTAAGGACTATGCAAAAGCTAATAATTGAACCCTCTCTGACCTACATATGATTTCTGCCAGCATCAAACACCATATGGACTGTTTTCACCAACCACTTTCACAGCAGCTTCAGAACAGCAAAAAAGTTTACAGAGGCATTTTACCCAAATGTCTGCCAGCCAATGATGCTGAAAGGAGTTAAATTTTTTTACAGTGCATGTCTGGACAGAAAGCAGGGGCTGGCAGTGAATGTGCCCAGACAGTAGTTCTCCTGATTGACTATTTCTACTTGCTAAGTAGAGGTAGGACTCTGTTAAATGGAAAGGATAATGTTTCTTTAAATGGTATGTTGTTTTGCAATCTTTTCCGGATTGTAGAAATTCAGAAATAACTGAATCACAGAAAACTCCACCATGATCCTTCATATGGAGTTTTCTGCTGTGGAACAAGAAGGGACAAGATTCAGGCTGATGAGCCCTTTCATTTCCTCCCAGTTCAGAACCTCAATAGTGACCAGTGACAAAAATTTGGTCAAGAGCTTCAGTTAGATACTTTGGAAAATTATCTTTTCTCATATAAATTTTGTTTTAAATTTTCTTATTATGGTTTTTGTGGGGAATATAACAGCCTTCCACAGGAGTTCAGCAACTGTTACAACATAGTGTTAGTCCCTCTTTAATGTGATACAAAACTGCATTGCTGTTGGTAGGACCATAGTATTATTGAACTATTTTTTTTAAGTATCTAAATGAGTCAAGTTACTAAGTCATGGTGAACAGCTGGAAGGATTCACATCTTATTACTTGAAGACATTTAATTATTTCTGTCTGCTTAAGAGATCTAAAAGCATAGATGTATCTGATGAAAACCCAATATATAAAATTAGTTGAAGTGGATACTCAGCAAGAAAAAAAGACCTTAAAACTGTTGAAGTTTTTTGAAATTAAAACAAAAGAATACAATGTCTACTAATAAGAACCATCAGTCAGCCCTTATTATGGGGAAGAAAGCAGCTCTGCATTCCAGTTTAGTTCATAGGGAAGCTGGGTTTATTCAATCACAACAGTGTGTATGTATGTGTTTACATGTCTGTGACTGTCCTCAGAGAATTTGGGAATCAAATGAGAAAAGGTCTCAGAATAAATTAAGTTTCTATAAGTGTCATGAAAATATGTGCCTTGCAAAGGAAATGGATCTTTATTAAGTGCCTTTACAGAAGAAAAGGTCTCAGCATGAGCTTACCCCTACTTAGACCCTGGAGAGTCCACACAGGAGAGACCCCAAACAGAGAGAAGCCATCAGTCAGCATCTGCACCTTATTAGACACTGAAGTCAATTAGGTCCAGAATATAGAACAATAGATATGGGTTTTATTGATACTTGTGTTCAAGATCTTAATTCCATTAAGAAGACACACTAAATTTCTAAATTGCCTCCTTGCAGTTTTCAGGTCCAGAATTTGTTATTTTGTCTAGTGAGCCACCAGTGACCTTACAGCTGCCTGGATCAATTGTGGTAAGAATGAACATTAAGAATCTAGAACTAATCCAGTGACATTTTAGTCAGGGTTCTTTGTAAGTAGCACCTGAGCCTCAAGCCAGCATTTTCTCCATGTCCTCCTCTCAAAACTAGCTAGAGTTCCTGCAGAGGTATTGAGACTTGAAAGGATGTGCTTTAATTATTAGTGCTTTTTAGTTATTTCTGTTGGTGCAAAAAAAGCTTAATTTATCCTTCTCGGCTAAGAATGCTCACTTTAGCCCTAGAGCTATGACACAAAGACTGTACAGCAAATCTGCAATATGACATCTAGTTCCAATGTATGGAACTTCTCCAGCTTGCAAGCACATGCTTTACTTTTCATCAAGATAAGGTAGAAAGTTGACAGAGACAGCAGTAAAAATGAGAGCAAAGCAAATTTGGAATTAGCCCCAAATCTAGAATAACCCTGGTGACTGGAGAATTTGAGTATGGTCAGCTGTTTTTTTGTGATTCTTTGGGTTTTAAGAAAATTAGAAAGGTTTGTGATATTAATTTATGAGAGGGAGGCAGAGAATAGCATGGTGTGATGACCAATTCCATCAGGTTGCATAGACAGAGGCTACTTGTGAGCCTCAGTAATAAAATGCTGTGGAACTTGCACTGCTTGTACTTGGCACTCATTCTTCATTCTTTCTTGCATATTCTTAGACTAAAAAAGGGAAATCCTATTTGTCCCAAAGGGATCTCAATGTGATTCTACTCAATGGGCAGTGCCTTGAGGTGCAATGTGACATCAAGACCAAGGCAAGAGATGTTTTCAACACTGTGGTGGCATATGCAAACTTGGTGGAACATTTCTACTTTGGCTTGGCTTACCTGAAAGGTAATGAGACAGTTAAGTACAGCTCTGTCCCTCAGTGCCTCTGTAGTTACTTCATCAATGAATTCCAGTAAGAATTCATCAAAGAATCATTCAAGAATTCATCAAAGAATCATTCACCAAGAATTCATTCAAAGATCCTTTAAGATCCTTAGGTAGAAGCAGATACAAAGCTTGTGCAGAAGTAAGGTATCTTGGATTGAACTGCACTGCACTGATGTAAAGCCTGTCTGCCCTAGGACTGTGCATCAGCACAGCCATAAAACATTTACAGGTTGATACTCCCAGGCAGAAATGGCTGTGTCCCAGCCTTGCACTCAAATAACACTGAACCGTGCAGCTCCAGCAGAAATTCCAGGAAGCATTGCACTGGGAAAGGCTGCCTGTGCTTATTCCTAGATATAAGTGGGATACAGACTCAGCTGTGTTATCTACCAGACCCACATCTCCCCAGTCCCCTTCTGATGGCAGACACAGGTGAGGCTCTGGGAAAGAGCACACCTTGTGTGTAGGGCATGAGGATTACAGAGCAGTGCAGAATCTGAGTGGTGGGAAGAATGCAAGCCCCATGAATCCTTGAGTGATTTCTAAGATACCATACTAATCAACATCTAACATTTGCAATCCAAAATTACATACTGTCCTAAGTTCTACATCAAATGAGCAATAAGTTAAATCATGACACAGAAGTAAATCTCAGCTGATCTCCCAAATCCATTTTATTTTTTATTGCTAGTGATGCACTCTATGAAGACAGCAGAACTAAGCTGCTGAAGTAGATCCAGGTTTATCACAGAACCCAAAATTCTCATTTCAGGTAAAGAATTCTTCTTTTTGGATGAGGACACCAAACTCTACAAAGTGGCCCCAGATGGCTGGAATGACCAACCCAAGAAGAAAATGTCCATCATTAATTTCACTCTCTTTATAAGGATAAAATTCTTTGTCAACCACTTTAATGTTATTCAGTAAGTGCAAAATTCTGCTGACTGAAGAAAAACCAGTAGCATTTAGGGATACTATCCAAAGCTCCTCCTGAGTTCCTAAATCCTTTTCTATTCCAGGCATGGCTTGACAAGGCATCAGTTTTACCTGCAGCTTCGTAAAGATATTTTGGAGGAGCGATTATATTGCAGTGATGAGACTGCCCTGAAACTCGGCGCTTTGGCTTTACAGGCAGAGCTTGGCAATTATGCTTCTGAGGTGTGCAGAAATAATACAGTATATCTCAGAGGTCTCTCTCTACAACTTTTGCAGAGTCTTTTGTTTGTCACATAGAGTTTAAAGAAGAAATATGAATAGCAGAGAACTTCAGTTAAGTCCTCCAGATAAGTCCTTCAGACTCAATTATAAAAATTATTAAAATATTCCTGATTATAGAGTAGTAATGAGCCAGGTGAATTTACCAGGAAATATGGCAGAATGATGAGAGAGTCTAAGTCCTTCATAATTGATAATATACCCTAGAAACTCCAGAAAATCTAGAAAGTTTCCAACACAGGCCCAACTTAGATGTGCAGAGGGGCTTAAAGAGGTTAGTAAATAGGGGAGAGAAAAGCAAAGGCACACTTCAGAATTCACAGCTATCTTATGTGTAGGCTCAGATCCACAAGCTGCAAAGACAGGGAGGCCTCTGCATCTCTGAACTAGCTGTCCTAGTTTTCAAGTGTAAAGAAAACACCCATTTATGTTGGCTTCCATATCTTCAGCTACGTCAATCAGGATAGCTCTGTTGATTGAACTCTGAGTGGTCTCATCCATGTGGTCAGATGTACCATGGCAATGGACACACCCGCAGGCCCAGCTCCTTTCTCCCCTCTGCCCAAAGAAGTTTTAGCATCTGCCTGAGCACAGGGGCAAGAGGCAATTTGGCTGTCAGGACATGACATGCTGTTCCCACTTCCCTTTGGGAAATGGCAGCAGGGTGACTTCTGCATATGGGTCACCCTGGGAATGAAATGCAATGAATAAGAAAAGTCAAGAAAGAACAAAAGGCTCCTGTCTCTCTGTTTTTTCAATTTTTTTGCCCCCCAGATGCATGGGAAGAGCTATTTTCGTGTTGAAGACTACGTCCCAGCCAGTCGAATAGAGAAAATGACCCTGGCATACGTACAGCGAGAGCTTGCTAAATTACATCGCATGAATCGCTCCCTATTTGAGGATGAAGCTGAACTGGAGTTTTTAAAGGTAACTTGCCATACCCCAAACACTATTTATTAATTTTGAGGTAGAAAGCCCTCTGTATTTAACGTTGTCTATTTTCTTCTTGCCTGACACACTGGATTTTAGATATGGTGAAAAAAATTTGAATAGTCAATAAAAACCTCAGAATTTCATTTTGCTGTAGATACTGTCACTTATCACTGAGAGTTTTTATAGCACATTTTGGTGTATTTGCAGCATTCTAAGGTTTGATGTAAATTTTTGGCATGTTACCAACATGTCTGGGCTCCAGAAGATTATAAAACATGAGAATAAGCACTTTTTTGACTTCTGAAATTACAGCAGCTGTTCAGCCACTTCCTTAACATGTAGCAATTGTTTGTTTAAAAGTATCTGTGAGCCCTGGAAGTGAGAAAGGAATTATCTGAAGTATTTTCTCACTTGACTATTTCTCTAGGGCTCTAAAGTGTCATGATGATGTGGGATTTCACTTTTTTCCTGCTAATTTCTCTTTCTCCCCAAACCTCTTTGCATTCCATCAAATGAAAAATATCAGGGATTAGATAATGGATAAATACCAGTAGTCATTTTGCTGCAGTGCCCCATGCTGGTATTTATAGCATCATCTTAGTTTAGTTGCTATTTAATTATATTAGTTCCTCATCTAACACTGTCAGTGCAATTGAAGAAATAGATTGAAGCTTAGCCTTAATGACAGTCCCATCATGTGTGGCAAATCCAATGAAGAAAAAGCAGCTTTCTTTGTATCTGTTTCAATGAATAAATCTGTAGAAGGAGCCAACTCATCATAGAAAGTGAGAAAGACAGACCCCATGGCAAGAACATGTAAATTCCAAATATGAAAGGGATTAAAAATTAAAACCCAGATTCAGCTAGCGATTATAGATGCCCCAGTTTTCAGGACCTGAACATTTGTACTTTGGTTACTTTCTGAGAAAACAGATCTTCTTAAAGTGTTTTATTTTGGTCACTGAAAATCTCTGTTCACAATTGAAGTCATTTGAGGATTCTACAGTAGCTTCCCAGAAAGAAAATGTAGGGTTTTAGGATAAACTCACATTGGTCTGCAGATCAGACAGTAAATCCCAGTCATATTCCATAGTTCTGTAATGTGTCTGAGTCACATTTTAACACTTTTGTGGCCAAGTACAGGAGGTAGAAAGACAAGCATGAACACCCAGAACCTCTGGGTGAATTTCCCAGAATATCCCCTGCATGGTTAGATGGCAGGGGCAGACACTGGCTCCTCAGACACTCAGAAGCATTTTCTCCTCTCTCTACCTTTCTTCCCATGAATCTTTCTGAGTAAGGCATGGTAAAAGCACTTTTTCTCTAAAGGTGACTCAGCAGCTTCCTGAATATGGAGTGTTATTCTATCGTGTGTCCCAAGAGAAGAAAGGGACAGAAGGGGACATCATCCTGGGAATCTGTGCCAAAGGCATCATCGTCTATGAGAACAAAAATCACACAAGAATTGCCAGTTTAAGATTTCAGTGGCGTGAAACAGAGAGAATTTCAGCTCATGTGAGTTGGAACTAACTGAATCTCTTTACTGCCTTCCTGTTGCTTTGATAAATTAATTGCATTCAGAGCAAGAATTAGATTCACTCCATATGGGCAAGTCCTTTCTGAAAAGAGTTTAAAATCAAAGCTGGATCTGGATGTGCATATGAACATACTGAATTCTTTGTGAACTATAGTTCTGCAGTATTTATGCCAAGGCCAAAGACAAATTACCATAAAACTGAATAATCTGGTGCTGACTATTACAGAGACTATGCCAAATCTCTCTACAGCATGTTCCATATCCATTCCTCTCTTGTCTTTACTGCTCTTTTCTTCTGCTTTTCTGTCTACATCAGGTCATGGGATGATGTATTCCACTTTCCAGATCTCATTATTCCCACCCTCATCTCTTAGTATATTGAAGACTGTTAACAAATTAGTATTGGTGATAAGACTGTGACCCATTTCTAAATGGGATTTTGACATTAGAGGTATATCAATGTACTGTTGTACAGTTTAGGTGTCAAACTGGATCACACATTTCCCAGCTTGTTTGCTCTCCAAAAATGGTCCTTCTCCCCCTTGAAGATACGTTCCTTTTCGTATTAAATTTGTTTAATAATTGTAACATCTGTAGGGCCAAATTTTGCAGTTTTAGCAACCTGCTATCACTGCATTCAATGTCCTAAGGATCTTGACTTTTAACATAGAAGAGTTCTGATCCCAATGACAGACACCTGGCTTACAAGTGCTGAATTTACACAGGCCTTTACTGAGAACAAAAGGGATGCAGTCAGGCATAAATCCAACTGAACGAACCAACAAGATTATATAAATGAACTGTCAGTGCCTCAATGTAATGACTGATATATACAGCAACCTGTCCTGTGCTTTTTTTTCCTCTTCAGAGAAAAAAATTCATGATTGAGAGCAGTTTCAGTGGTAAGAAACACACCTTCATTACTGATACAGCAAAGACATGTAAATACCTACTGGACCTCTGCTCTGCCCAGCACAAATTCAATGCACAGATGAATTCTAGGCAACTTCGTCAAACCTCATCAGGTATATTTTAAGCTTATGTTTATGCTAGTCTGTATCAATCCCAGTTTTTGATTTATTTTTCAATGTGTCTCCAATTTCCTGCTGTCTCTCCATCCTCCAAGTCCCCTCTCGAGCCTACCCAATGAGAACCTAAATAAATTAATATCTTCTTCAGCACCACCTTGTTTCAGAAAAATGAAATCTTTTAGAGGACAGATTTTTATAGCAGAGCCCAGGCATCATTAAGCAAGTAGTAGATTTCACAGAAAGGTAGAAAACTGGACAGCAAGTGTTACCACCAAGATGGTCCCCATTTGACTTCACTTGTGCAAACGACTCAGTTCCTTGGTGTCTCTCTGAACTTTGGAGAGCACATGTTCCTAGAGTTCCTATCTTCCCAGATATAAATATGCTGGAGTGGAAGGCCTGTGAAGGATGAGAAACTACCAACCTGAATAATTCAGACTCTGAAAGACAGACGTTTCTTATACACCAATCATTTACAAAATACACTTCACAGAAATATTCAGGTTTAAATTATATGGGGTTGCAAATTTCACCTGTCTTTGTGGAAAATGCATTTGTAGTATAATTCACAGAAATTAAACCTAAATGCAGCATATACTTTTTATGAAAGAAAACTCCTTCTACTCACCCCAAGGCCTAGGTATCCTTAAGGATAAAAGAACAAATATATCTGTAATATAAAGGATAAAAGAACCAATATAGCTGTAATTTTTTCCTGGCATATTCAAAAGATTTAATTTAAATTTACTTTAAGCTTAAAAAATGCAATAATATCAGTGGATTTATCTTTGCTTCCCTTCTCTTGCTTCTCATTCAGAGGACAGTAAATTTGTAGAAATAGACAAATCGAATTCTGCATATGCAGCTCAGCGTGAACACCTTGCCCTTATTCAGAGACTGTCTCGCTCAGAGAATGTGCTCTATGGAGCAAACCTGGAAAACCTTTCTGCTGGGATGATGAGCAAATCTTGTGATAACCTCAGTGTGGAAACCAACAATAGGACTAGACACAAAAGCAATCTTGGCGGGTAGGTTTGCCTTTTCTCTCTGAACATGTGTAAGACTCAGGCATAAACTATTTTTTTTAAAGTTCTTATTGAGGTCACACCAAAAGGTCTGGGGCTCCTTGATGCCAGCAGTAGTGCAAATGTAGGCAGGAAGTTGTTAGACTAAGAGAGAACAACTTAAAAAAGAGTGACATTTAAATTTGTACCAGACTCAAGAATAAACCACTAATTGGGTTATGAGGAAGTATAAAAATGAGGAAGAATAAATGTAAAATCTTCAATGTCTGTATCTTCACTGGAAATTACAGTATGTGAATTAAAAAAACATCAGGAGCTGGTTTTGAGCAGGAATGCAGAGATCATTACTTAGTTGATTCCTCCATGTCCAAATGTGCAATTCATAGGGAACACTGCAAGAACTTCTCCCTCTTTGTTTTGGTGCACTCATCTGTGTCAGTGGTTACTATAGCTGCACAGCCTCAAGATGAATTCTAGTGCCTTTTAGAGCACAAAGAGTTAGAATAGAGTCGAGGAGAACATGAACTACCAGAAAAACTTTCAGACATGGTTTTGTCTAAATGGACTAAATGAATGATGGGGAAGCTATGCTGTGTTTTCCTGATACCTGCACTCAGCTCAGAGCAAAACACGGGAGGAATCAGTCAAGATGAGTGGTCTAATGGCAGCTGTTATTTGGAAGTAAATGCTGACAAGGATAAACCACTTCTCCCCTAAAATGAAATATGTCCCAGAAATCAGATTACTCATTGAAAGGCTATAAACCTGTGCATTCCCAACTCGGCTCTGACAAATACCACTGCTGATTTTTTATTGTAACAGTCTTCCTTTCCTGCCCTGCAGGTCTCTATCAGGGCTATCCCAGTCAGAAATGCACATTAATTTGAATGGAAAGCAAAGGAGTTATGATTTTCTCTCTATCCATTCAACTCAGAACACCATCAGTGGTGAGTATATTAATCATAAAAAGAGACAATACCCTTCCATGTTTATTGTTTCAATGGAAGGAGACCAACCCGGATTTTACTTACAGATTAAAGACTATCTTTTTTTTCCTTCTAGTCCTGGAAATTAGTCCAGAGTTTAGCAAGATAAGCTGTTTTCTTCCCCTTAAGTCCCACTTTGCATCAGGTTCAGTGGTAAGGGACTTGGTGGTAAAATGATTCTATAATGGTGCCTAATGCTCTACAGAGATGTAGTTCAGTACACCCAGAGACTCTTGCATGGGACAATATCCCTGTGCTCAGAGGTCATTGTTTGGTTCAAAACTGAGATCTACAACTCAATAAATAATGCATGAGACAGCATAGGCTCCAGGTCTTTACTCTGCTCTTGCACTTACATGATACTAAGGACTGAATATCTAATTTTCTGTCAGACTGCATGCACATGGGGAGCCAATCTATGGAACATGAAGCTATGCTTATCTGGTTAGTCTATTTAAAAATTAGAACAGTACTATAAACACTGTGGCAATTGCCCAACGTTAAGTAGTCACCGTTGCAATCAGTGTGGGTTGGATTGCACCTTCAGGTCCCACAGGGCCTAAGGCTAGAGCCCACAGGAGATTTTGTGTCCAAATCACCCTCAGGTTCAATGGGCACTACACGCTTGACTCTTTAAATATTCTAATCTTAATAAAAACATTGCAGAAAAACATATATTGTCCCAGAAAGGAACATTGTAGGACAATGTCGCACAGCTCTGTAAAGAGTTTTTTAGAAAGAATGAAAACTTCTGAACACTTGTTTGAGCTTCCTTCCAGAATTATATTGATTCAAAGTAACAGTAATGTTGAAGTCAAGGATAAAACATATATTAATTTTGAAGCCTTAGTTTTGCATAGTACATGAATATTCCCAGCATGCTGTACTCCTAGCATTAATCTACATTTATTCTAGCTGTTTTGTTTCTGCAGCACCTGGATCACCAGCCACCCAAAAGGAAGTTTTGCTAAGTGGTCTAGAAAGAGAAATCATATGTGTCAGCCTAAAACGTGACCCTAAGAATGGATTTGGTAAGTAAGGAACATAAATGTTATGTTTGTTACTGGGACTATCAGGTCCTGGTGCTAACACTGATGCTTGCTGACTCAGGCTGGGCAAGACTGTAAAATCCTTTAGTCCATTTATTCTTCTTATAGAGTAAGAGTACCAATCTTTGTAAAGGACTCAGAATTTCCAGGACTGAAAAGGACTAAGAACAAAAATCAAGACCATTACATTTTCAGAGGATTAAATAAGGCCACAGAGACCAAAAGAACCAAGTGCTAAGAGTAGATTGAGAAAACCACGGTTTTAGTTTTGTATCTGAAATACACATGTACTGATTTTATTTATCTTAGACCTTACAGGTGGTGCCTGTGAGGGTGTAAAATATTTACACCAACTTTGCATAAATGTTTCCCAACTTTTGGATTATTATCTGGATAATATTTTTGTTATATAATACCTTAATCACACTGTATCGAGTTCTTGTGGATGACTTCAGAAGTTCAGACCATCATGTTTTACAAATGACCATTAATACAATTAAAAATCAAATTTATGAATGGTGCAGGCCTGTGTGTAATATCCCAATCCCAAATTCAACTATTATAGAAGTGAGAAGAATATATTTCAATAGTCAGAGTTAGGATAGTGAAACTGAACTACTGAACAATAGATTTCATTTTCTTAGATCTCTTACATGGCTCTCCTCAGGTTTCCTGTTTGCATGATGTAGAATGATGTTCAAATTTATCTCATGAGCTTTTATACCATTTCCCTCCTGCAGGTGTTAAATGCTGCAGGTCCACCTAGTTCATGACTCATGAAATACAGTAGTTAGTCTCTAAAAGTACTGAGCCAGGAAAACGTTATTATTGGGAAATTATATCTAAGTAGTGATCAAAGTCACCAGCACACTTTAATTATAATGTAAGTTTAAAGCTCTCCCAAGTCAAGACCTTGATGCCCTGTAAATCAAAGCTCCCCATCCTTCAGATCATGTACAAAAGGTATGCCACTGGAGTAAGAGCCTTTAGTGCTCCTGAGATTCATCTTTTTTAATACTGCCAGTGTTTGCATTCTCATGCTATCTCGTTTTTGCAGGTTTTGTAATTATTGGAGGAGAAAATGTAGGAAAATTAGACCTCGGTATCTTTATCGCTTCAATTATCCCTGGGGGACCTGCAGACAGAGCTGGAAATATCAAACCAGGTCATTTTCTGCACTTTTTAATTAGAATTAAAATACTTGCATAGTTTAAAGTTAGCTTCTCTGGATTTATTTCCTTATTTAGATGTGCTTTTTCTTGCTTTTATCTTTTTTTTCTTAAGGAGGACGACTCATCTCTGTGAATAATATCAGTCTGGAGGGTGTTTCATTTAATACTGCAGTTAAAATCATACAGAACTCTCCTGATGAAGTGGAGCTCATCATCTCTCAACCCAAAGGTACAAAGGCAAAGGCCTCTGCTGGCTCTGGGATGCTAATGGTTAACTCAGGACACTCATCTCTAATGGGCACTGGGATGTAGTACTACATTCCTGCTACTGACTGCCAGTTAGAACAACCATACACTAAAACAGTCAACTTCTGGTAGGTATCATGTGATGTCTCTGCTACATCAGTGTGAAAAAATCTATTATGGGCTGCCTCGCTGAAGATTACAGGAATTTTGGCATTTCTTTCTCTGACAGAGAGGCATAGTCCTCTGCAGTGAGGAAGCAAACACATTTCTGAACACCTACAATAGCAGTGCTCCATTTTACATTGACTAACTCATTTTACAGATCTGATTTCACAATCAGTTGAAATAAGTAGCTACTTTGTCCCCTTGTGCTGGGTTATAATAATATTTTTCTTCAAGTTTACTTGCTACTTGCATTTAACGATATTTTATTTTGGTATGGCTTTACAGACATGTATGAAGAAGGATTAAATGAAGAAAAGAATCTATCAAGAGGAAACAGCACTAGTGGATCTGAGATCTCTTGTGTAGACAGTGGGAGAAAAAAGATTCAGGATTGTCATACAGCTCTCCCCAAAGAACAGGACACAAATACAGAACTTGAGAAGACTCTCCCTTGGAATTTAGCATCAAAATTGGGCCCTAGGATTCCAGTGCCTTCGGCTAATAGCCTGGATATAGAGGTAACTGAGATTTTGATGCTGCTCAGTAATGTTACACCCAGCACACAACACACAACATACCAGATACATGTAGAAGGGAAAGTCATTGTGAAGGAAAGGAGATAGAAAACCTTGAAATAAATTACATTGGAAATGTCAAAATGATGGACATATCTAAAGTATGTGAATAAATGGGGAAACTGTTCTACAAAATGTTTTAAAAATTCTCCTTCCTTTTCCAGTGGAGGGACAAAATTTTGATTATATTCTTGCAGTCTTTTAAGTTTTCAAACCAGTCCCAGAACATGCCATGTCTAATTTCCTACTTCTAGACATCCTCCCTATATATACTCAGGTTATGTGCATTTAGACAGATTGCATTTTGAGTAGCATTAGCTTAAGCTTCCAATAATATCAGAGATATAAATGCTATCGCTCCAGGTTTATAATGACAGCAGGATCAAACCTTTTACATCTTCTGGAAATGCTCTCCATTTTTTTTAATTCCTTCCCCTCCCCCCTTTCTTTTTAAACCAAGATGCTGTAATCTCATTAAAGTTTTTATTTTTGAGACAGGCAGCTGATTCTTCCCACTTACCATCTCCATCAGAAACCAACTCAAAGGAAGTCTACACGGTGGAGCTTCTTAAAGAAGATGGGACTTTTGGAATCAGTGTGACTGCAAGTGTCACTGTTAATCTTTCATTGTCTGTCAAATTGTTACCTGACTGAGAACAAAGACAGAAGATAGGCTGATAACAGAAACTGTTAGCATGGCACATTGTGAACCTAAGTGTCCACTGATTGACACAGAACGCATGAAGTACTGTCTCTGCTCCTTGCCTGGTTCTCACCCACACCATCTGGGAAAGAAGTGTCCTGGCATAAAGCATGTGGCAGTACAAACCCTTTTTGTCCTGACTTGATTTGAGAACAAAATCTACCACTGAAAGCAGAGTTTGGTCAGGGAGGACTAGAGAAGGTCAGGGGGGACTAGAGAAGAAATATCTGCCACATTTGGATAACAAGTTCTTGTTCTAGCTATTTAATTTGAATTTACCCCTCCAGGCTGAGATGTCTCTACAGTCCTTGCTGAAATGGAATGTAAAGCAACAGCCATTTCATTGCCTGCCGAAGAAATTAAGGGCCATCTTTTTCATCTGAATTTGGCCAAGGGATGTAGATGGACAGAACATGATTCTTAGGTTAATCTGAAATTTCTCTGAGTGCTCAAGTTCAGGTCCATGCTTAATATATTGTCCAAAAGATTAGTAACTGAAGAATGGATATTGCACAGCTTAGAAGCTGAGCTAGAGAATAACTGAAAGATGCAAGACCATTTTATGTGAGCATAGGGAGAAATTTATGAACATTTAGTCAATATTTCTATATAGTTGAAATTGAAATTGAAATTGAAAACATTGAAATACATTGCATTTTCCTAAGAAAATAAGATTACTGCCTATGGAAGTTTATTACAACTAGATGAGGTTTTAGAGTAATGGGGTTTGAAGTAATATCCTCTTTCCCTTTTCCTCAATATTTAAAGAAAGCAATTCCTGTAGCAGTTACTTTGCAATGCATGTGTAAGTTGCTTTGATGTTTACCACAGGAAGAATATATGAAGACTCTAATCTGTGGGCATGTTTTGCAGGGTGGAATTAACACCAGTGTGCGTCATGGTGGGATATATGTGAAGTCAATTATTCCCAGGGGACCAGCAGATAAAGATGGACAAATAAAGATAGGTAACATGCCTGGCAATAAAACCCTGGGCTGCAGTGAGTTCTCTGTTAGTGTGGACAATGAAACACATTTGGGATTGGAGGTGCTACAACTGCAAAGTGTAAGATATGGTCCATCATTCCTCAGCCTGTCCCTGTACTACATGAAGGGATGCCACTGAAAAAATAGAAGCCTCACACCAACACTGTAGAGTTACAGTTCTGTGGCTGCCATCAGGCTAGTGACTCTGACATCATTGTTACTGTGCTAACCAGATGCTATCACTGCATTTACTTACAGAATACCCTGGAATGCTTTAGTTGCTGGTTATAGAGTGCTGTGCAGCAAGCAGTATTGCTTTCCTATGAATTAATATTAATTTGACACATGTAAGCAAGAAGAGCTATTGTAACGTGGGCAGCCTCAAGGTTTACACCCTCTGAACCTGAACATCAAAGCAACTGGATGTGCTTTTTTTTACCTCAGGTGATCGTCTGCTGGAAGTAGATGGCATCAGCCTCTGTGGCATCACCCACAAACAGGCTGTGGAACACCTGAAGAAATCTGGCCAGGTTTGTGCAAGAGCAGAGATCAATAAGACACACAGTACACTAAACTGGTATGAAGCACAGTAGCCAAGCTTGGCCAAAAGAACCATCCCTCCCTCTGCTCCAACCCTATTCCTCTAAACAGAAAAGGAAAAAAGGCTTAGGACTCACTTGTCCTGTGTAACTGGAACCTGTTTATCACTGTTTTAGATTGCCAGACTGGTTCTAGAAAGGGGAAACTACCAATTGGCAGAGCCTTGTCTGACTGCTAATGACAGAAAGGAGGACCAATGTGCAGTTGTTTCTGTGGCAACATCCCTCACAGATGGCACCAAGGACTGCTGCTTTTTGACAGATGGTAAGTGATAAAGAAGGAACTTAGGGTGACTTCCTACGATGTACAGGAAAGGAATGAATGAAAATAATCCTATGAAATTTCTTTGGGTTGGAAGAAAAACCATACACTGAATAGAATTATAATATTCAATATTAATGACATAATCAAAAATCAATTCTGAAAAATATATTTCTAATGTTCATACAGTTATAGTGGCTAGATATAGCTGAATTTACCCTAGTCATCACTACTGTATCTCTCAGCCTTTGTGAGACTGGGCTGGCAAGGGAACACACTGTCTGTACCCCACAGCATCCTCGGGCAGGAAGCAGCTGTGTGGAGGTGGCCAGGCTGTTACCCAGGGAGAGCCTCACCAGCACAGCTGCTGATGCTGTGACAGTGATGAAGCTGGAGGGAACTGGAGACTGTCACCACTTAATTTCTCAAAAGCACAAGATTTAGAGATCACTTACACAGAATTTACCCAACAAATAAATGCTGTATCATTAACTGAAGGTTGTCTCATAAGCACCAAATCTGAACCATACTTTTCCATGGGGCAGTTACTCCACTGGAATTCAGCTACAAGCATGGTGTTTGGGAAAGGCCTAAACTAACTACAGAAGAGTAAAATCTATGCAACACTTACAGAAGAATATCAGAAAAAGATAGCATGTGAATCTCTTTATGTTGGTACAAAAAGCTTTTCCCTTTATGGGCTGGTACCAGACTGTGAGCACGTGGTGGAATAGATTCCAGTTCTCCCTATTCTGACTGTGAGATTTCAAAGACTTACATAAGATAAAGGAACACCCAAACCTTCTTTTGACTTTATTATTAGTAGATCTACCTCTGCAGCACACAGGTAAAAAGTCTTTTGAGAGTATAGTTTATATTGGCTCCTCAGGGGGTACATATGCCATGGTTCCCACTTTTTTCCCAATCTCTGATTTGAGCAGATAACACATTTGAAGTGAAATTAACCAAGAATTCTGGAGGCCTTGGATTTAGTGTTCTGCAGATGGAAGGAGATGCTTGTGAACACCTTGGAGGAGCTATTGTCAGGATCAAAAGACTGTTTCCAGGGCAGCCAGCTGAAGAGAATGGAGAAATTGAAGTTGGAGATGTCATTTTAGCTGTGAATGGGAAACCTCTCAAAGGGCTCCTGTATCAGGTAGCAGGAAGTGTTATTATTGGGGCTCCATCTGGGTAACAGGTTAATAAAGACAATGCCTTTAAACTTAATTATCACCAGAGGGAGGCAGAATTTGCATACAATTAATCCAATTTCTGTGTAGGATTCTTCTCTAGAACTCCTACGTAGAATTTCCGTTCTAAATGAATTCTGACAGTGAATTTCGTCTGCTATTTAATTTCTAAGTTTCTACCATTAATGTATGAATTCTATTGTTAGATGCACACCAGTTGTTAATTAGTTGGAATCTTTGTTGCTTTTATGCATGATTGGAACAATTTTACCCTGTGGTCATTTGTGCTTTGTAACGTCACGCTAAATATAATGCCCCAGATTCAAATTTCTACCAAGATTGGTAAGTCCTGTGTAAGTTTTTAACCTGGAATGAGAAATTCTATATTCAATCAAGCAATTAAATGGTAATGGCCTACATGTGGATTTATTTTTCTTCATTGGAATATGGCAGTTTGGGGAGTTATGCTGAAATAATTGACCAAAGATGTTACTGCCACACACGGTTTGAATGAATTTTCCTGAAAATTCTGATTTCTTCAAGAAAAGAAAATTAATTAACCTAAACCTATTGTGCCTGATGGCGAAGCGCAAGTTTATAAATAGAACTGAATTTACATTAGATACATATTCACCTATAAACTATGGTCCATTTGTATGACAATCCTTCAGTGGTGAATGTTGGCCCTCATACCTCTGGTATGAGAGAAATATAGCATTCACTATGAAAATTTTCTCCATCTCAGTTGGTAAAATGACATGTAAGATTTACTCTGTCCCATCAGAAATATAACATTCCTTCTTTCTGTTTAGGATGTCCTGCACTTGTTAAGAGGAGCTCCTCGAGAAGTTACACTGCTACTTTGCAGACCACCAAAAGGTGTTCTTCCAGAAATAGAGCCGATTGCCCTGGTAAGGCAAAGCTTCTGACAGAAACTTGCTTCTGTAAACCTGCAAAGACACTACTACATTTTCTATCCAGTCTTGAACAAGGCAACTTTCCCTTTTCTCCAAGGCCCTCAATTCCATTTCTTTCCTGGTTTCAACTCAGCCTGTAAAGTTCAATTTATAGTTTCTTAGCAACCAAAATAATACAAATCTGGCAGACATTAAACATATTTATCCTAGTTAAGTTGCTGTACTATCATTGGAGTGAAACAGCACGTACCCAAGCAGGTCTTCTAGTGGGGCTTCTAAAAATGCTCTACCAGATCCTCAGCCAGAAACTACAGATATTCTAAAATGCAGCTATTTTAACTCCCCAAAGAGAGAAGAAAATAAAGAACTTTTCCTATCCAGACTATCTCTTAATGAAGTTATTATAATAACTAATAGTTATAATAATAGCTAATAGCTATAATAATAACTAATAAGTTTCAACTGGTTATTCAGGTTCTTATTGATAGTTAGCAGAATCTGCAGGAGGAAAACCAAAACACAAACAAACAAAAAATACCCCCAAACCATAGACACTGCAGAGACTAAAATGTAACCATTAGATGTGCTAGCATTATTACTCCTGCTTCTTGAAGACACCTCATGGACAGTACTCTTATAAGGAAAATGCATTAGCACTACTCTTGCTCCATTCAGAATGGCCCACTGATGGTTGCCATCCCACTAGGATTTATAGCACCCACAGGCAGACAGAAATGACAGTCAGAACCATCTCCAGATAGGAAACTGACTCCTGCTGCTCTGCTACAGTGTGCCCTTGGCTGATTTCTACGGTCACTCACATGGGAGTCAAGTCTGGAAACTCCTTCCATGGAATGAAGAGAATATAGACACAACATTGAGGCATGATATGAACAGATACATTAAAAAAGAACCTCTAGCAAATAATTCATTAGGAAAAGTGACCTGGTGGAGTAGTTTTGATTGGAATTCTTGTAGAATGTGAAAAGTAAGCATTAAGAAAAAATAATTATTTGCTTAGAGAGTACCTTCTATTTTTTCTCCTTCCTCCCAGCTACCATTTGGTATTTTCCCATTCAGAAGCTCGTTAATATTGCCTTTTCAAAATATTTTGCTCTTGAAGGAAAATGATGGGAGATTATAAAGGAGTTACACTAACCTTTCTGTTTTTTTAATAGACTCCAGCACCATCTCCAATTAAGGACTTTGTGGCAGAAATGCCAGGCAGCACAGGGGCAGGAAACAGCATGGATCAATCTACCAGTGATGGAGGTAGCACCTCTCCAGACCTCGAAGACTGCTTTGATTCTCCAGTGGGAGAAGATTTCAGTGAGCCTCCTGAGGATGACAGCTCAGCTTACGAAGAGCAGGAAGCTGAGTTTCAAGAGAAACCCATACAGAAACTCCCAACTTCCAGAGAAAGTTTCTATAAGCATCTTTGGAAGATTCATCAAGAAGCTTCCAGTTCTGAAGTCTTCCACTCTCTAGAGGAGGAAGTGAAGCAGAACTGCTACTCACCATGTGAGTTTGGGCAGGCCAAAAGGTAGGGAATACCAAAATCTGTCCTCCAGCCTTTCCTTTGACTCTTAGGACTTTGAAAGGTAATTGCTTAGGTTTAAGTACAGGACTCTCTGCTTCTAATCACTCCTGATTACTGAAGATTTTGTTTTATTATCTGATTCTGACTCACCTAATCTGCTTTCCCTATTTACTCTCATATTATTAGAATTTTGCATAAGTCTGCATTGAGAGTTCTGCACCACTGTAATCATTTATGCTGCTCAGCTGAAGGTGGTTGCCATTTGAAATCAGTGGAAAGATACCTGTTCACCTCAACAGGAAACAAATACTTTTATTGATTATATGATCTTTTGCTTTCATTTGTTTTCAGAGTTGACTTAAATAGGCACCAAATTTTTTTCTTATTGTGCGATCTCTTAATTTCAGATTTTTTCATAGGAAATAAAAACACCTCAGAAGAGAAACTGTGATGAAGGAGGGGAAAAAAGGGTTATTTTATGTTTTCTGTCCTTCAGAAGCCAATAGAACCCCTGAACCAGAGGAATTATACAATAAAATACAGTGCAAATGGACTCAGTCTCCTTTCACACTCCTTTGGATATATCAGACACTATCAGAAGACAATTCATTCCATTTTCATCATCCTTCCCAGTGCAAAAAAGTATAAATTATCAGAACAGAAAGGATTGATACAAAGACAAATTGAAAGTCTTGTACAGGTCTTTAACTTACAGCTTTAGTAATTTTATTGAGAATCTAATTTCTATTTCCCCATACAGTCAGTTGAAATGATTTTGTTACTTTTGACTCTCATCAAGCACAGCCCCAGACAGTTGTCTCTGGGGAGGGACAGCACTACCTGGCACTGCAAGCCCAGTGGGATCAGAGGGGCAGCTCATAATTTTAGCTTCTCTTTGTCAAGTGCAGAAGCTTCACTCAATTCATGAATGAAGCTCCTGCTTAATTTTCTGCTTCTGTACTTCTGAGAGTAAAATCAGCAGAAATATGTCTGCAGCAAACATATTTGCCAAGAGATAATACAGATTCAATGAAACAAAGTTTATTGTGGGAAAATACCAATTCCAAGAAAAATTTTGGATTCTTTCCAAAAAGGAAGTTCTGAAATAAATGTTTTTGTTTGATACATTTTCAGTATCATATAGTATCAGCTTTTGCATTTTTAAAAGGAAGCCAGAGAAGTTTAGGATGCCATGCATTTTAAACAATATTTTAAATATAATCTCAATTTAAATTCTTCCAGCTAAAACCACACAAAATCCCCAGAAGGAAATAGGCATTAATAAAGGACTTCCTTTTGATTAATGAAGAAATTTCTCCAGATTACTCAAAATATTTCATACAAATGTATCAATTTTCTGATAAGAATTTTACAGAGATCTTCTGTGATTTCATACAGGACATGGAATTTATTTTAATTTTAGTTGTCTATGTTTGCTTAGGAGACAATGGACAGTTCACTTCTATCAAAGAGCAAACATCCTGGCTGACATAGATGTGAATTTGCCATTTTAGGTGTTTTTAAAATGAATGAATGTTTAGCAATATTTCAATAAGGATTGATATGAAGAAAACATACTTTAAAAAAAAAAGTGTTTCTAGCATTTTTATGAGCTTTAATGGTAAATTTTTGGGAGACGATGCCAGAGATGTCTACTCAGGCTCATGAAGGACAACAGCCAAAACTATTAAACACAGCATTTGTGATTACAGTTTGGGCTCGAACATCAAAAGTGCTGAATATTTTGTTTGCAATATAGTGGAACAGAATCAATAATAATTTTAATTCAATTAATTTAGTAAGTCCATTGGTGGTTTTCAGACAACTCATATGCTTCAAGTTAAGCATAAGAATAAAGGCAAGCTTATAAAGAGGCGTATGGACTTCTTTTTAAAAAGAAACAGGAACCACTTCATATTTCATGTTTCTGGTCAGTGCCCAGTTACCCAGGAATGACCTGTAGAAGCCAGAGATGTGGCTGGCATTCCTTTTCCCAGAAAATCGCTAACATAAAAATTGTAGGGGTATTTTAATGTCCATACTGCTTACCAGAAAAGTTAATTAATTTGTTTACGGAAGATTAAATAATTAATGGTCTGGGCTTTGTACAATTATTCTTTTTGAGAAGCAATCAAAGTACTAATTAATGCCTTAAAAAAATTAAGAGTGCAAGATTTTGCAAAGGTAAATAACAGAAGCTTTTTAATCTTTCAAGCAGCTTTGCAAAATATTGATTACTTATTTGCTTTTGTACTACCATTGGAGGAGTTAGACAGCAATTCAGTACCATAACTAGTAATTCAGTTAAAATGAAAATAAGGTAATGCATAAATAGTAGACTTTTCAGTGGCCATCTAATAAAGCATATGGAGGAAAACCCCAGCACTGCACTCTTTTTATTTTCCAGCCACGTATTTAATAAGAGTCATGATGACCTATTGAACACAAAATGTATGCCTGAAACTCTCTCTCTAACCCCTATTGATGAAGAGTATCTCACTGTCAGCTCAATGTCTGTGACCTCCCTTCCACGAGGGGGAAGCTCCAAGACAGTCTCTGCGACCCCACAGCCACGTGTTTGTGGTCCCTCATCACCATCCCTGCCTGCCAGAGAGACACATGACAGTGACAATGAATGGGAAGACTTGGAGGAACCAGAGGAAGAGAAGGAAGAAAATGAAGAGTGCATTCAGGTATGTGATGGGCACCAAATTACCAACTGGTAGAATACAAGGGAAAAGAAACAATTTTAAGAATGTTTCAGTCTTAAACATTAATTTTAACCCATTTTCTATGCTATTTTCACATGGATTTTTTTCTTTTTTTACTTTTCTGAATATCCACAATCTTCAAATAAAGCAGACCTTCCACTATGCCCAGCTCTCCAGAATTCTTAACCATTTGCCTTAAGGCTATTTCTTTTTTCTTGACATCTTACTATTTCTCCAACTTTCCAAAATTCTGCATTATTATTTTCAGTATACAAAGGCCTAAAAGCTGTCTAGTAGCTTCTAAAATTAATTGGAGTCAGCTACTTGGATTTTTTCTGCCATGTTTCAAGGCCATGCAGAAAATCACTTTGTTACAGTGATATTGCTGTAATGTCCTGATAAGAAGTATGATTCTTGTGCTAATTACTATTCAAAATATAAGGCTCAGTCCTGCCAAATGCTGAACATCTTGCATTCCTATGACACTAATGAGCTCTGAATTCCTACTAATTTGAGAGCACTATGGACAAAATTTAGCTCCAGGCATTTCCTTCAGTGGGGCAGCAACAGCAGTAACAACAGTGATCCCTGCACCCTGCTATCACAATGCTTGTCAGCTCAGAGGCCTCCAAGCCTTTCTTTACACATTCCAAATGCCTAATCCCAGGACCTGGTGGCATTCTCTGCTTTACTAGGCCCTATAAGTCAATCAACATGAACCTCCACAATTCTGGGATATGGCAGAACACCTTTTACATACTCTTGTACCATCTGAGGATCTGATTCCTACCCGCATATAAAAATTATGGAATATGTTACTGAAGCAACAGAAAAGCCTACATCAAAAAAACTGTGCTTGTTTTAACAGGAAATGGAGATCTTTGTGACTTTGACAAAGTCAGAGAACAATGGTTATGGATTCTCTGTAGTTCTTAACAAAATCGACACTTGCCTGTATGTTGATGAAATCTTGAATGATCCTGCCCTTTCTGATGGAAGATTGAGAAGGGGAGACAGAATCATTATGGTACAGTAATTTTTTGAGTTTATGCAGAGGAGAAAATATTTACAGATAAATGTCATCATTGGCATTCTTTGTTTAGTATCACCCATTTATCACATATTTAGGTATGTAAATAAATAATATAATAAATCTAATTCTGCTGACCTCAGTTGGATAAATCTCAGGCTGAATAGATTGTATGATGAGGCAAATAAAATGAATCTAGGAGCATTCAAGACAAGTGAGACATTAAATGCCTTCCCAATGAAATTATATAAACTGAATTAATGTAATAAGGTGATACGTGACACACAAAGGATGCAGGAATTGTGTCCTTTGTAATGTAATAACAAAACCTTTTTTCAGCCTGGTTCATGTTCAATTTTTTGCATAAGACCTTCTCCCTTGTTTTTTGCAACAAGATCTTGAGTTTCAATGGGAAAAAAGCTGTTTTTATTAAAGCTCTGCATTCAGAAAAATAAAAGTTCAAAAAAGAAATATTATTGCAATCTTAATTGTTAAATGTATTGACATTAAATATCACAGCAAAGAAATAAAAAGGAATTGAAAACTAATTTAAGTTCATATGCAAAATTCAGAGTAGAGGAAGAAGTAAACGATGATCAATGAGATGTATGACATGATTTTACTGGTTTATCATTTAGGTGAATGGAATTGATGTCACATCTTTGCCATGCAATGAAGTCCTGACTTTACTGCAAAGCTCTCCTCCAGATCTGCACCTTGTGGTTGGCCGTGCCGACAGTGACCCACGTCCCTCAGTTAGGCCAGAGGACATTCCTGAAATTACTCTCACAAAGGGTGCTGATGGACAGCTAGGTGTGTACTAAATTCTGTATTTGCTATTTTGGACAGGAATGACAGCATGAGATAATCATAGGAATGACAGGACAATCATAAGCAAACGTGCTCTTGGATCAGTACAATCCAAACTGACCTTGACACCTTTATGCTCTTCATCATCACCCATGACCAAGGAATGAGAGCTTTTTGTGGGCAACATCTAAGAGGGAAGACTAATATCTCTTTTTAGACTAATGAAGGTATCTGGAAAAATGATCTTTGCATTATCACCCCATTAACTGAAGTTTCTGGCAGATTTCCAGTACCATATTTTTATGTTACTTATATACATAAGTTTTGGATGGTTGGATAACAATGTCTACTACCTGCAGAGACACATAAAGATCTATTTGGAGGGAAAGAAAAAAATTGAAGAAAAGGTAAAGTTTAAGAAGGATGAGCCATAGGTTGAGACTACAGTTTGCTATTCAAAAAATCTCCACTTGAATCCTTGATTCACCACAGACACAAGGCTTTATCTACAAACAATACAAACGATAAAAGAAATCCCCACAATGTGAGTATCTTGATATTTCTGTAGCATGTTATGAGTACTGCACACAGATAAAACTGTAGCCTCAGGAAGCAGTATGGCTATATGTGCTCATGTACAGCATCCTGTTTCCAGGTAGGAACTAGTTATTTCAGAGATTCTTTGAGTGTAGTTTGCACTGTGTAGGTCCCTCCTCAGCTGTTGTAGGCCTTTCCCATGGCACTCTGGAGACTGCAAGGCATTTAAATGTGCAGGTAATGAGGGAGCTGCTGCTATGCAGCTCAGTGTCCTATTGCAATGACTATTGAACATCAGGGGAAATAAAGCGCTAGAACAGCACTGAAACACAGAGATGGACACCACCATTTACGTTTTTCCATACTTTTTTAACATCTAATGGCATTTCACTCTTTCAGTCAAGCTTATAAATCCCATTTTACTGGGGGAAGACTGTAATTTATAATGTCAGTGATTTCTTCAGCCTATCTTTCAGTGACTCACATTTATTCCACTTTCAGTCACTGACAGTGAAATTCTAAACACACTGCCACAAAAGATGCTTTCTCTGCATTATTCTAGGCTTGAAGCTGACAGGAGGAGCTGGAAGCACATTACAAGGTATTTATGTGCTAGACATAGTGCCTGGCTCTCCTGCCAGTGTGGAAGGCAGTTTGCAGCCACGAGATCAGATTGTTTACATCTGTGGACTGTGCACTGAGGGCATTAGCCTGGATGATGCAGTGAGAGTGTGTGAAGCTGCCACCCAGAATGTTCAAATCAAAGCCACAAGGTAAATCTGAGCATACCTCATCCTCATGCTGAAGCAGGTTTCTAAATTTTACATCAACAAGTCAAACCACACAAAACTAAAAAATGCTTTATCTCAAAGGTCTGAATGTTGCAACCTGATAAATAACATTCATAAGACATCTTAACTCCTTGTACTTAAAACTGACACTGCAAGTACAAGTAGACTCACACAAGACAAATGAGAACTCTTCAAATTTCATCATCCAAAACCAAATGTGAAGCCTTTAACTGAGGCTGATCATCATTTTCATATGTCTTGTTCTCTAGGGAAAATCTTTGTATTTCCATCACTAGTGTGAACTTTCCCTTTATAGTCTCAGATTCACAACTACAAGGAAGAAACTATTTCTGATCAGAAATTCTGAGATAATTCCAACAGAAAAAAAACATTTTAGAAAGGTACTAAAAATGCAGCATTTAACCTGCAGCATGACCAGAAAGTCTTTCCAGACCTGAACAATAATTGGCTGTAAAGGATTTTTCTCATCAGTTCATGGCTGCACTTTTGATTCATTGTGTTGCACAGTCTGATATCACACCAGCTCAGGTCCTGGACTGATGCAGAAATAGCTTCCAAAGATCCCAGAGGAACAGTAAAATATTAACTCAAAGCATGTGAGTAACTGAGTTATGTAACCAGAGCCTGTGACAGAATGGCTGTCACAGCTGCCTTAACATAGTTCACACTTCTATTACTGTTTTATTAACTTGTGCTTACCTAACAGAAGAAGAAACTGCTGCCTCCTTATACATCTTGCTCTACAGCAAGTTAGTAGCAGCACCTCCTGATTGTCAGAATTTACAAACTAAGGAGCTAAACAGAAATAGGGTAAAAAAACTTACAAAAGAGCATTCCCACTTTATACAGGGGGTAACCAAAGCTGAATTTGGTTTTTTCCCCAACACATTTCAATAAAATGTTTCACTACAGTCAAATATTTTCATATATCGATATCAATTCTCTTTAGAAAAGTACCACTAACAAAATTGTAGAAGGACAACTACAATTTAGATAATTGCATTTCTAAAAATAATTTTCATATGTGCTTTACAAAGCATACAGCGCTTAATGGCTCATATATTTCACTTTTTCTGCCCCCAGAAATGGCAATCCAGTGGTTCCTATAGAGCAGGAAAATAGTAAGTAAGGCTAACGTTTTTGGGTTTTAGTTCAAAACTTGCTGATTTTGAAAAAAAAGCATAAGGTATTGATTAATTGCATTTAAAACTTATTAACAATTTGTAATTTGCCATTCAGTATTTCTGTTATGGCCATTTTAAGAGTCTGATGAAAATTTGGTAGCTGTTTAAAGATACAAATAAAATGTATAGTTTTCTGTAAAAAAAGTAATTTATTACATCTTCAGTTTCTTTTTCTTTAAATTTGTTATTAAATAGGAATTTTATGTGGTCATATTTCAAGATCTGTTTTGACTGAAACTATTCTATAAGAAGTTTTCCAGCACTTCTTGAGCCACTATTTAATATGAGCCACTACTTCATCATCTAGACCACCTTTTTATACTGTTATTAATGAAGTAGATAAATTCAGCAGGCAGCACTAATATCTGTTAGTTAAAATAAAAGCATTCCTATAAGGGGACATATTTAATACTTTAACTGATACAAAACTTCAGCAATCATCTGAGCCACAAAGATTTGACCAGAATTGCTCCAGCAGCCTAAGGAGTCTGAGCAAGCACAGGCTGCACCTGCACCCTCAGGTGGAAGGGAAGGATTCACATCCAGGTCAGCACATACAAAGGGTGTTAGTTATGCAAGTAATACTTTCAAATGCACTTTTGGCTGCAGCATTAAGTCAGACCTAACCCCAGTTTCATTTACCTGACTGGATATCTCAGTGGTTTTTGAGGTTTTTTAAAATCATGCAAACATGACTACAAAAAGTAATTCTGGACCACAATTATTCACATGCCTACATTGATCTGAATACTGGCATATGGTTACCTGAAGAACTTTTTCCAAGTCAAGTTAGTGACAGATTTCCTTAGACATGTAGCCATGTGTCTGTTTCTATAAACTGAAGCAATTTTCTACAAGATATGGATAAAGTTATGTGTACCCTCAGTTAACACAATAGAACTAAAGCACAGGAAATGTGTAGCCTGGTAAGACTTTGCTTACACAGCCTGGTGTGAGCTTTGCAGATTCCAAAATTTCTCAAGACACCTTCAAATAGGTAATGAGACCTGCTCCACCTCTGATAGCATTATGAATGCTGTACTGACACAGTTACCTGCCTCTCCTATAAAACAAGATGTGTAAGGTCCTGCACATGGGTCAGAGCAATCCCAAACATAAACACTTGGGCAGAGAACAGACTGAGAGCAGCCCTGAGAAGGACTTGAGGGTGTTGGTTGATGAAAAGCTAAACATGACTGAGCAATGTGCAATCACAGCCCAGAAATCGTAACCTGGGCTGTACCAAAGGCAGTGTGGCCATCAGGTTGAGGGAGGGGACTGTGTCCCACTAGTCTGTGAGACCCCCCCTGGAGTGCTGCATGCAGCTCTGCAGTCCCCAGCATAAGAAGCACATGGACCTGTTGGAACAATTTAAAGGGGAGGCCATAAAGATGGTCAGAGGGCTGGAGCACCTGAGCACAGGGCTCTCCTGTGAAGACAGGCAGGGAGAGTTGGAGTTGTTCAGCCTGGACAAGAGAGGATGCTGGGGAGACCTTACAGCTCCTTCCAGTTCCTAAAGGGGTACTGCAGAGGGACTTTGACAAAGGCATGTAGTGATAAGACAAGGGGGAATAGCATCAAACTGAAAGAGGACAGGTTTAGATTAGATAGTAGGGAGAAATTCTTTACTGTGATGGTGGTGTGACACTGGATCAGGTTGCTCAGAGAAGTTGTGGACACCTCACCCTTGAAAATCTTCAGGTCCAGGCTGGATGAGGCTTTCAGCAACCTGGTCTAGTGAAAGGTGTCCCTGCTCATGGTAGAGGGTGGAAACTAGATGATTTTTAAGGTCCTTTTAAACCCAAACTGCTCTATGATTCTATGATTCTTCCATTTTATAGGCGCATTAAAAAACCTATACTAATTTTGCATTTGGTGTTCCATTTGCTATCATCACTCATAGATTTATTGATAAATCCGTAATAATTTGTTATTAAGAAAGCAAGCCTTCATTTTTATAGGTTTAGTTACAAGGACACATACTAAAATTGCAATTGCAAAAGGTAGCTTTTTTAAACTACAGGGCATTAATTATTTTCAATAATTCACACATTAAGAGTACTTTGTGGAAGACAGCTAAGATCAGAATATGATAAAGCAAAACCACAAAACTGGGGGAACTGATAGAGGTGGGAGTGTTCCTTCATCTGCCTGATCATTGCCACATGTCTAGAGTGACTCAGTCTGGTCTCTGATTGTTGTTACAATTTTTAAAATAACAATGGCTAAGATGCAGCAGCTCTGCAATTCATGACTGAAATGTTTATATCTCTGTGCAAATTGGCAAACTTCATAATGCAGTGGTCTCACACTGCTTCGTATAGCATAAATATTGGATATTGATGCTTTGTTTAATAACCTAAGCACAGAGTTTGCATTCCGTGGGTACATGAAGTTTAGCAGGAGGCCTGTCAGAGCAAACATATGTGTTTGTTTTTAGGGCCACCAGCTGAAACAGAGAAAGCCAATATTTCTTTGTCAAATGAAAACCTGAACTCCCAGGAACAGCATCTGCTGCATCAACATGGTAAGGAACTTTGCATTTTTCAATTAGGATTAGTAAAATTGTGTTCTTTGAAAGAAAAGTAAGTTTATAGGTGATAATAGCATCACCTGGGAAAGATTACTCTTCATAAAAAATCCTGCCTCCCTCAGAGTTTCAGAGAACATTTATACATTACTGCTCTCCATCTGGTGTCTCTGTAGGATGCAGTTCTTAAAGCTTGTTTTGGAACCTGCTCACGGGGAGGTAAAAAGGTCACAGTGATTCACATTTCAGGAGTTTTAGGCCACATAAACCCGAGGGATTTATTTTGTATTTCACATATAAAATAAAAAATGTTTTATTATGTCTCTGAATGAGATTTTGAGTGTTATACTGTAGAGTATTTTACCAGGACAACTATCTAAAAATTGTTGTTGCTTTTTCACAGAGAAGCATTTGGAGGAAACAAACTGTGATGATCAGCAGAACACTCCCGATTCTCCAGAATGTAAAGTAAGTGACACTCTGAGGTGTGAGGTGGTTCATCAAGTGAAGTGAGCTATATGGAGAGAGGTTTTTTCAATACTGGTATTGAATGCATTTTCTTCCTCTCTCTGAAAATGTGAATATAATGCACTTGGAGAGTGTCCTGTAAGTGTTGAATTGTATTCAGCATTCACACAGTAGAATGCACTGGGCACTTCCTGGGGACAGACTCTTCTGTTGCTGTCTTTCAATGCTTAGAAAGAAGGCAGCAAAGGAAAAAGACACAGAATGTCACAGCATGGGATTCTGAGGAAAGTATGTGCAATTGTTAAACATTTTCCACAACAATCTTTGAAAACTGAGATTAATATGTTTCATTCTGCAATTTTCAAATAGACATTTGAAAATAGAGTAAAATTAGCCCAATCTTTGCAGTACTATGCAGCACTGATATAGACCAATATGGTTTGAATTTGGCAGGAGTAATGCATTTTTCAAGTTATTTATTATTTATTATCAATTCCTGAATACACAGGAATGTTGTTGTTTGGGGAAGAAAAGTTATTTCCATGCTCAGATACAATGCTTGAAAATTCTTACAAGCGCAAACATCACTTCTGTTGGCGCAAAGACATGGAAAGTAACTTTAATTTAAATGATCCAAATTGGGAGTGGTATTTCATGTCAATAGATATAGATTAAGTATTTTTCTCTTTATTGTGTAAAAAAGCTGTTTCTTGTTAAAATTAGAGCTCCAACCTGGCAAAAAATTTCAAACAATTTCCTAATTTTTTATTATGTCATCACTATTTCACTATTACTGCTTCTTCTGCATGATTTAATCCATGATGGTTTATCTGTTCAATCTGCAAAAATAATTCACAAGCCTGATACTTGTGGCATTGGAACTAGTCATGCTGCAAGTCATAAACATTTCTAGCTTGCTGCTATTTCTGACATAGTACTTGCCCCTAAAAAAGCAGCTGATTTTAAAAGCAAATGAAGTGCTAAAGTAAAAGAGATGGAAATGTTGGGATTACAAGATTAAGATCTAAATTAGAAAAGAATAAGAGAATAAACTATGTACTGCATTACTGTCATGCTGGAGGTAAGAATGCCTTATTTGTCAATTGAGGTGATTTATCTGATATATTATAAAAGGATTACAGAAGTACACATTTCTTTGCTCTTAAGGGGTTATTTTCCCCAGCAGCAATTATTAAACAGAGTATGAAAATAAGTATGTACTATTTTTATTCTGATACATACATGCAGCTCTTATCTTGATTCCTGAAAGCTCTGTAAATCTATTCAAGAGTAGAGCAGGATACATCCCATAATCCACATCAGACAGTGAGGACTGTGGGAATAATGGGAATCTTGAGTAATAAAAATGCCAACAAAATACAGCCCAGAATAAATGCCACTTTAGACTGCATCCTTGTCTATTGTAGGACTTCATTATTAAGATTGAGCTGGAAAAAGCAGAAAATGGAAGCCTGGGATTTGCACTGGTAGGTGGAAAAAATGGCAGGGCTATCCTAATAAAAGCCATCAGCCCGGACAGCAGTGCAGACCTGGATGGGAGACTTCAAGTTGGTGACATCTTACTGAAGGTAATGTTTGTTCTCCATTGCTTTGGCTCACATTTTCTCTACTTTACAATGAGCATCTGTCCGATACCAAGTGGAGCAGGTTGGAAATCTGATGCTGCTTTGCACAGTAACATGCAGGAGGTGCTGTCCCTTGGCTCCTGGTGGTCCCAGGGCTGTCCTGGGGCCCCTGTGTCTTCCCTGGAGTTCAGCCTCCTGTGGGACTGGGCCTCCCCAGAGCTGGACACCCCAGCAGAGGCAGACCCAGAATCACAGAGCAAGCAGCCAAGTGCACCTACTCCTGACTGTAACTGTGCCTAGTGAGGATTCCAGAGAAACTTCAGGGAAACCAGAGGTAACTGGCCAGGCATGCAGGTCACAGCTAACCAGGAGACTACTGGGAAGAACCTGTCACGTTAGGTATTATCAAGACAAACAAAAAGCACTGGAATTAGGGATTTTCAGTCTTTATTTAAAATCTTACTATCCTAGCCACTCTGTCACCTTTTAATATAAGTAATCCTTTTTGTTAGACCAAATTACTTTTTCTTCTCCCTCCGTGAGTTTCAAAATTGTTTGACTTTCTGGCTTTCATTTACTTCCATCTCTCTTTCATCTTCTCAATGAAGAATGGGGGAAAGCCCACTTACTATCTCAGACTATAATTCTGTGGTGTCCTGCTGGCAATCATGGCATAAAGATAAAGAAGTGAAGGATCAAGTGAGTCAGGAAAGAATGAGAATTCTCTCCCACAAATGGGAGAAGATGATGACACATGAAGTTCAAAGAAGTTATATGAAGATTTCCCAGTGCTAGGGCTTTGTGTTACAGGAATGTGGAAATACACATCAATATATTTTTCAGGTGAATGAGACCTTTGTGTCTGGTCTGCCACGCCAAACAGTCACAGATCTGCTGCGCAAGGCGCAAGGCACCGTTCAACTCACTGTCTGCCGAAGCCTGGCTTTGCACTGGGCCTATTCAGGCAACCAGAGCAACAGAGCTCCCACTCCAAACACAAAGGCAGAGCCTGGTAAGCACCCACATCCACTCATCATATGACAGAAGTGGGAATATGGCTGCCTGAATTCAACTTTGGTCTTAGCGAAACAAGTCAGTTTTACAGTCAGTCCTGTCTCATAGCTGTAGGTATAAACACATTCTTCACCCGGATTTGCAGCTCTGGCTAAAATGCTCAAGACATAGGACCACAGGGAAGAAATGCCCAAGTGTGATTTTTAAATCTAGGAACAAAGCTGTAAGACCCTCAAAGACGCTTTAACTCAGTTTAAGTTTTTAAGTCATGAATGTTGGTCTGATTTTACCCCATTTTATGCAACTCATTGATGAAATCACAGCCTGGTTTTGGCTCAGTTGCTAAAATACTTCTCCCACAAACTTCACATCCCACCACTCCTACTTATCTCCTGGAAGCACCACACCTCCTGTTCTGTCTGGCAGACAGATCCTCTCTCTTCTGTGGTGTTCATGCTCAAACCCAGAAGCCTCTGCTCCCAGGTCTATTGTTATTCATTTGAGAGCAAACCCATCTTGCAAAGGGCAGTACTTACAAGCATGACTAACTCTATGGAAGAACTTTGTGCTCCATGCTCTGCTCTACTGAATACTCAAAAATTAATTACTAATTAAAGCTGGGAATGGAAGCAAGGACATAAAACTGCCAATAGATTACATAGTTATAGTCCTCAAATTTCCATTTCTTTAAATACTGAAACATTCCCTATAATGTGGAGAAACCTAAGTGGGAAGGATATAGAATTCTTCCTTCTGGCCTGCTGGTTATTGAAGGCTTTGTTTCAAGCATTCATAGTCACGACACTGCCATTGCCATTCTCTTCTTACATGATATCAGTGAACAACATAGTTTCTGGGAAGTTTAAATTCTTTTCCTGAGGAACACAATGGTATTATAGAAGTAATGGCAGCAAAGTTAATCCATGGTATTTTTCCCTTTGCACTGTGAAGGATGAGCTGGGTTAGGGAGAGCAGATTTAAATTGTTTCATGGTTTTTTATAGTTGCTGTTGATACAGGGCTTTACTTCAGTGTATCTTCTGGCAGTCTGAATTATGCTGGCTTCTTTGGTGGTGACATATGGCATTTGTGCTCTATTAACCCTCCCAGGCATTCACAAGAGGGATGTTCCATGCCAGTTTAAGACACTGTTTCTCAGTGCCCCATCTGAGGTCAAAGTCCTTTGGTCTAAACAGCAGAGAAGAAATGGACCTTTATTTTCATGCATTTGATTTTTTTGTTTTCTGGTATTCAGCAAGTGGTGGGGAAAGCCTGCAAGCTCAGCCTGTTTTCAGTTTCAAGCAAGAAGGCTCCAACCAAATGTGCAACAAGGTAAAATCAGAGTTTTCAGAAGTTATCAGGCAATGTACTCATGTTTGTTTACAACATGAGTTTGCTGCAATGTGGGCAAGAACCACACCTTCTCGATGAAAAAAAAATGTTTAATGTGAGGGAAGTGTGCCGCCACGACTGGAGCTGCTGACATTTGAGTCAGTCAGGATTCCACTGAGACAAGAGCATATGATAAGTAGAATACATATGCAAAAAGGGTGGAGGGAAGAAAGGCTGATATGCAAGTCTTGTTCTGATTCTTTATAATACTGAAATGAATAATTTATTAATTTTATCATCCTTTCAGTACTTCTAAACCATGTACATTAAAAGATTTCTATCCAGCTATCTCCACTACGATTCAATATTCAAATGCATCTAAATTTCTTCAAACATGGCTATGATTTTGAATCTTAGTAAATCCTGCAAGACATTCCACATTAAATTTCAGAGCATCTATTATTTATAAATTTAAAACTGTAAAACTCCTCAGTAAATGTGAAAAAATTAGGTCTTCTTATCCTTCAGAAAACAAATGAAAAACCCAAACCCTGATTCAAGTAATGTAATTGAACCAGAAAAAGAAAAATGGTAATTTGAACTAAAATTTAAATAATTATTTATCAAGTGTTACAGCTGAGAAGAAGCTGCTTTCATATACTAATAGCAGATATCCTGCATTATTATTTCAATGCAGGACCTAGTTATTACTCTTTAGGATGGATAAACAGCCACCAGTACTATTGCTTCTATTGCATATGGAGGATCATCATCTGCCTTCTCTGTTAGCTGAGTGCTTCTTCAGCACAGCAGCTGCACCCTGCTCCTACCATTAGCATTGTTGTGTCTAAGATAAAAAAGGAAATTATTACCAACAGCTCCATCTCAGATGCTGGTGCTTCCTGCTGCCAAGAATTGGGAGAAGAAGAATGTGACTCATGATTCCTGTGATTGCATTTTCTTTCTCAGATCAGAGAGGATACAACCAACCTTTCAAAGTCAGTCATGCATGCTGAGATGTAGAGGTGGCTCTGGACTGTGCTATTGCTCAGAAACTTACAAATGCATCTGATAAGGCTTTTTACTCCGAGTAGTTACTCCAATACACACTTTTGTCTGAAAGTGGAAACTATTTTATTTTCCCTTTCCTTCTTAAGCAAAGGACATGTTTCTGCCAGAAATAAGAGTGTTGATGAAAGTAACTACATTCTTGATGTTTCTGTGTACTGATTTTTCACAGCTTTTTCTTATTTGAAATATGCAGGATGCAGAAAGAACAGACAAATCTCCTCTGCAAGGTCAGCTGGCTGGACAAGACTATAAGGACCTCGTCAGTAGCGTTTCAGACAAGTAAGTCTTTCAAATGAAGTAAAACTATTAAAATAAATAGTATGGATAAATTATTTGTATATTTCCAGCTCTGTCCTAGTGTGGTATGAAAACGACAGAACACGGGTCTAATGGAATGCAGCTCCACCTTGAGGAAGAGCTGCTAAACAGCTTCCACACAACTACTAAGACAAGAGAATTGAAGCTTACAGGTGTAAGGCCTAACAATGGAAAAATATCCTACATGAAAATACTCACTAGCTGTGAGAAACCTTACTTCCATTCATTTTTGAGCAGCTTTTTATTCAGAGTATGCTCTTACCTCTGAAAAAACCAACAACAATTGCATACTGAAAACAGTATTTTTAGTAGCTATATTTGCAAACAATACGCCAGACAAAATGCTACTACAGCCCCTTGAACTTACGATCTTCAGAGTTCTGACTAATTCTTGTAAAGAGCTGCTCAATAAAGTTAAAAATAAGCACAAGTAGATTAAACACAAAATCTTTGTATGGTTCAGATTATCAAAGCTTCTGCCACTTCAACTGACATTGTTTTGCAGGTCACAGAAATGTGCAGAATGTGAAAGTTGCAGAAGAGAAAATCAACAGTCTGAATCAGGCAGCTGGAGCAATGAAGATGATGTTATGCCCCACAGGATTCCTGTTCTACCTAGAAGTAATCATGCAAAAACTTCTCTTGTTTCTACAACAGTATAGCCCAGCATCTCCATAGATGTACACTGAGAACAACACTAGTCCCTTGTACACAAGCTAAGGATTTGCTCTTTCAGTCTAAAAGGCCAGAGCACTCAAGACGCAATTTTTACGACTGATGCATAGATAGGCCATCCAAACTTTTGTAACTCTCAAAGGAGAGTTGAGAGTTATATCATGAGGTCTCTCCTCTCTCCCTGACTGTTCCCATACAACTTCGCAAAATAAGTAAATAAACACTTAAAAATGCAGAACAAAGGGTCAAATTGTCTCTCAAGACTTTTTCCTCAGAATCACTGAATTTCACCCCTCATGACAATTTCATTAAAATCTCTAGAACTGATGTGCTTAAGCATGTACTGAAGCACTTTCACAGCTCAGGTGCCAAAGCCCCTCTGACACCTGGAAGAGTTTACAGAAAGAATCTGCCTAATTGTTCCTTTATGAAAATTAAGCTCCTTCTGCTCCAAATGAGAATAATTTGTGAAAGTAATCATACTGAAGATGCTGCAGTATCTCAAAGATTCTGTGAAATACAGATTGCTCTCTCTCTCCTTGCTTCTTCTCACCCAGTGGAAGCAATGAGTTGCTGATGGCTCTTATTAGAAGTAAAACACAGGTAACTCCCTCACACTGACAAGCCTTGCTGGCCAACAAACAGAACATTATAAACAATCTATCATCTACTACCTGCTCAGAGTTTGGGGTTTTTCAATTCCCCTTGATCTGGAAGGAGAGGTGTGTGGGAAATAATGTGCTCTGTTTGGAGTGGGGATCTGTCTTCAACTTGATAATAGGAGCCTCTTTGAGGGTTAGAGACTGGAATACAGGCAGAATATGTCTTAAAAGCTCAGCCAAAGTGGGGGCAAGCTGTAGCCCAGACATAAACACAGCAAGCACAACTCTATTGGAACAGAAATTAATTAAGAGTAGTGATGATACATTACAGGAGGAGAGCAGAGCATTGCTTGTCTTCATCCTGCAACAAACCCCTGGGACACATCATCAGCTTTTCTTTGAGACAGCTGGTATGTTATCCTTTGCAAACAGCAGCCTATGACTAAAAAACCCAAATTCCATAATTCCTCTACCTCAAACCATTATTTTTTACATAACAAGCTACTGTTTTTACTCAACATGGGAACAAAAGTTTTTCTATCACTCCAGTAGAGTAGTGATATTTTTTCAGATGCAATGTTTATCCATTTTCCTAATCTGTCAAGTACTGGACCAGAACACACATTTCAGGATGAGCTAAGTAGTAAAACTGAATCCTGACTTTGGAGCATCAAAGACAGTTCATATATTGCTCTTGAAGGGCAGTATGAGTTAAGATGAGAAGAAAAATATATTTGCTTAATTTAGGAAGGAAGAATTTGCCATGATTATTCCTAGCAGTGGAGTGTGGCAATACTAATTGGCATGGAAATGTTGGAAATGCAAAGATAATTCTCTGTAAAGATGTGGCCAGTCTCCTATACCAGTATAAACTAGCATTAAAGTCTCCAATTCTGCAAGAACAGTTTATTTAGAACAGACTGTATTTAGAAACTGTGTGGGGAAATAACTTGCAATAGTTGGACCTGCTTCCAAATAACATGAAATATGGTGCTAGTTGTATCCATGATGTTGACTTATTCTTCTTTCTGCTGTGAACATAAGTAAGTTGAAAATATTTTCTTCCATTTTCTCATATTTCACTTCCACAATATAAACAGTAAAATATATATACACACTGTAGCTCCCTAGTTTTTAAAGCCAAGATTCTGCACTATGAACAATAATAATTAAAAGCTTCTTGCTTTTTTGTTATTTCTTTTGAGTTTTTGTTTGCTTTTTTTTTTTGATACATAGACAGAACCTTTGCTTCTGGAGATGAACTGACTCAGTTAATTAACTTGAAACCATCACAGAGTGGAGTAGATCCAAGGACTGGCATAACAGGTCTTATTCAAGGACTTCAGCTGCAGATTGAGAATCAAGAGGTGCTAAAGGAGTTTATGGTAAACTTTGATCACTTCTTAAGATTTAAAAGTTCAGCAAAGCTAAGAAAGTGGCTTTCCATACAATGCATACTGTATGGGAGTTCAGTTTGTATATCTTTACTGCATCCTTTTTCTCTGACAATTATTCCTGCCAAAATGGGGTTTCTACTCTGCTGTTTGGGTGGTAGTACAGTATTTGCATCTCTATTTCCATGCATATCAGTCTTACTACGTTCCCTGTTCAAAGATACTGCCCATGTAGAAGGAAAATAAAAAATGTGACATTCACAATGTACATTAGGAATCACTCTTTCCTAGACTGACTTCTTATTACCCCCTCAGCTCTGCTGAAACTCTGCTGAACATCTACCTAAGAACCATTCTAGGGGCTGCACCTAAGCAAGAAATCCATGCTGCTAAGGATTCACTAAAGTAGAAACAGTTGAAAGGAAAATGTTCCACTCAAAGGAACACCCCAGTTATCCATGTAACTCATTGCCACAAGATGCTGTTATGATCAGGAACTTTGTAATAAAATTACAAAGAAAAAGCAATGTACCTCCACAGATAATGAAAACACATAATTACATCTGATTGCATATAAATAATGAAAAAAATGTAAAATTAGGAAGGCTTGTAAAATCTCTTGTTTCAGAACATTAACAGAATATGAAGTTATCATCAAATTCCCAAAGAACAGATTATTTCATTATTCTTCAAGATATTTTCCTTTAAAGGACATTTTCATTACCAGTACAATGGATTGCTGCCACTTTTCCATAGTAATTGCAATGTTATCAGTTTCTTTCACTTGCCTTTATATCTCTGACTTTCTGGGTACAAAATCCCACAGGCTGAAGTGTATAGGATTTGCTGACATTCCCTAAAGGCTCAAGGGCATGTATTAATTTTCATTCATTACATTCCATTACTGATGTGGGTGTAGCTTACTATGAGCTCAGTCACACATCTGCACAGAAAACATAAAGATCTATAAGTAAAGTGCTGGTTACCAAAGGCAGTGGATATTTTATCTGAGTAAAAGCCGTAGGAACTGATGCAAGTGTTCAAGAACTGTCGTATGTATTTCAGTTCTTATAAATGTCTAGTGGCAGAATGTGATGACTGAGCATTGTGCAACGCACAGAAAATAGGTAGAATAATAACAAAAACATTGAGGTAACACAAAAATTTAATGAAATGAACTTGCACATTCCTGCTTCTGACTACCCTGCATTCAATTCCCCTAAATTTGCTGTGAAGTTCTTCATGACTGTATGATTTGCACTTAATATCATTGGTGCTGTTCTCTATATTTATCACTTACTCCATCACTGAAAAGTATTCAGTCATTTTTGCACTGTTCATAGTGCAATAGTTACTGCTTGTGTTATCAATCATAAATGCTGACATTTGACCAACGCAGTATTCCAAACATCTATAATACAGCAATATACAAAAGGGACTTGTAATGATGGGATCTGAGGATGAGGGTTGGAAATATCACTTGAAAATGCAGAAATATTGTGCAGGGAAGAGAAAATACAAAGCAAATTGAATTTTTTGCCTAGAAGTTTAGAGAATGATGTACTGATTCTCTTCTGTAAGAAGTCTATTTGCCAGCCTTGGGTTATATACATCAGTAAAGTTTGTTCACACTGACACTGTAAAAGCTGTCTGTTGAGGATGTGAACAATATAGATTGACTATTTCTTTTTGATCTAGGCTTTAGAACATGTGAAGCCAATAGATGACTGCAGAACTGGCAAAGCACCAGAAAACCAGAATAAAAACAGATACCGAGATATCCTTCCATGTAAGTATGCACAGAAATGAGAACATACATTTGGTGAACAAAAGTCATCAAAGGAACACAAAAAAAATTTCTGGACCCTTGATGTCTTCCTAAACTGCAGCAACAGGACAACACATGCAAAAATGTGTAGCATCTCTATCTTCAGTGATGCAGTATATATATTCTTAGAGGTTCTTCTCCTTTATAACACCAATATCCAGTGACAACATTCCTATGCAATACATGAGAAGCAGCACTGGGTACACTATGTTGGAACACTGGAAAACAATTCTATAGTAATTAGAAGGCTTTCCACAGTGTTACACAAGTACCTCAAGAGAAATAAAGCTGCAATGAACCATACAATTTATCTGTGGGAATTCCTACTTGCAATGGTTAATATTAGTGCTACTAGTCAAATGTGTTCTAAAATCCAGAGGGATACTTTTTGGAGAGACTGAGGTTTCTTCTTTCCTGAGTTCTGGAGATGGTAGAACTCTGTTTCAGTTCCACAACTGAAATAGCATCTTTCTGTTTCTGTACAGATGATAAGACACGAGTTCCTCTGGGAGAAAAGAATGGCTACATTAATGCAAGTTACATTAGAATGAATGTTGGAGAAGAGGAACACTTTTATATTATAACGCAAGGGCCTCTTCCATCCACTATGGCTGATTTCTGGCAAATGGTCTGGGAGAGTGAATCAGATGTGATTGCCATGATGACAAAAGAAGTGGAGCTAGGGCAAGTCAAATGCCATCGATACTGGCCTGAATCTCCCTATAACTCTAAAGAACTGGCTAATTTCTATCTCAGGCTACACAATTACCAGCCTCTGGAATACTTCATAATTAGAAAAATAGAAATTATCAGCAAGCAGGTAAGTTGATTTAATACTTTCATATATGATGAAATTGATTACATAGTTTACGTGAGTAGATACAAGTAGTATTGTCTGCTTCTTCTATAATATGTGCCCAGTATTTTTGGGGGATGTAAAAATCTGAATAACAGGCATGAAATTAGGATTAATGAGGTGCTTTCTTCTTGCTTATTGCATAAGCAATGGATATAATATTGCATATGTTTGGACAAGGACTTCCAAAAATGAGACCTCTAATAGTCACAGAACTGGTGTGTTCAGTGTTTTGCAGAATTGTTTACTGTTCTCATCAAATCAGATCCCCACCAGAGTGGATTCATATTTGTAATGGTGGTTAAATGGAAAGGGGGAGAAGGTGGCTTTCATCCTAGAATTTAGGACAAATGATACATTTTTGTTCATGAAAATACACAAACACACATGAAACTACAAATCTAGCAGCAATTTGTTAGAAACTTAACAAATACAGAATCCAGGTGGAAGAACACGGAAAACAGGGCAGGTATAAGTCCATCATTCTTGCCTCAATATTAAGCAAAGCTTTGCAAAAATTTCTGCAGGACATATTATCTAGTGGCATAATTAAAACATCTGTGCCAGACAAAACTTGGTGCCTTTTCCATCAAGATAACAATTTGAGGAAATGCACCTTATGTCACTGAGTGTGAAGCATTGTAAAGCATTTGATAGGAGTCTTCCTGAAAGACTCTTAAAATGGCAAGATAGAACACCACATGTGATTGTTTCAATGAACATGCTAAGTTTGCTATGTTTGTACTAAATCAGTAGCAAACTACTACAGAAAGCCACAGGTCTACTTCAGCAGAAATCCATATTTACATTCAAATTCATCTGATAGTAAAAATCCAGGTAGTTAGCATTCAGATTTTAACATGGCTTTGTGAACTGGCAACAAGAAGCTTTGACCCAGGAAGATTTAGTTAATATTACCAATAAATGACGTAACTACATTCTTTCAAGGCAACTGAATAACTTAAGCATCTCATCAGTCATATGAAGTAAATTTCCTAGGCCTGTGTTCCTGAGTGCATTTCTTGAAATCTAAAGAAACATTAATAGAGCCAAGTATGAAAAGCTAAAGAACTGAAGAGTAAACAAACAATTTTAGGAATGAGGCTGTAGGAAAATTTTTAGTGGAATTCCTTGAAAATTGGTTTTGGGACTGATAATTCTTATCCTTTCTGGTCTCTCTTTTCCAGACAGAAGAAAAGCGCATTATAAGTCATTTGCAATTTACCACTTGGCCAGACCACAATACTTCCAAACTGGCTGAGCAGCTTGTAAAATTTATTTGTTACATGAGAAAAGCTCACAGGAGAGGACCTATTATTGCTCACTGCAGCACTGGCATTGGAAGAAGTGGAGTTTTGCTGTGTGTTGAAATTCTTCTCAGCCATATAGAAAAAGATTTATGTGTAAGTATCAAACAGGTCATTGTTAAGTATTACAAACATGGTAGGGATGTCAATGGCATGGTGGGAACGTCTTAGAACAGAATAAATCCTCTAAGAATTCACCCTAACAAAACAGAATAAATCCAGCTTTCATTGTTTTAAACCACAAAGATAGTAACTACAAATATACTGTTTCTAAAAGAGCTGTCACAGCTTCCCCATCTGAATATGCTTAAATCTTTCTTTCTAACTTGCACATCAACCAAAGTAAAAACAATTCTCTTCTGACAGTTCAACATCAAGCAGATAGTGAGAGATTTGCGAGATCAGCGTTTTGGCATGATCCAAACTAAGGTAAGTTGTAAATATGCAATTAGATCATTGTTTTTTAAAAAGCCTCAATCCGTGGTACAGCTCCATATGCTATGACAAAGCTGGGGCTTAAAATATCATTTTAGTGTTCTCATTGAGGAAAATAACAGCCCTCTAGGCAAGGGGTGTCTAGTTTTAAATATGAAAGTCTGTCCCTTACTGAATAAGTGAAATAAAAGTAAAACAGCAATATAAGACAAATACAACACACCCCCTTTCTTTTTCTAAAACAAGAAGAAAAGCAAGTATCACAGAAACAGGGATTTACTATAAACCCTACCCTGCAAAATTATACACTTTAGTTGAATTCTTGCTATTGATGAGTTATCATCACCAAGTAAACTCTTTTATCCTGAGCTAAACCCACTCCTGAAAAGATTTTTCACTCAAAAAAAGAAAAGATGCTGCTAACTCACCTTAGAGGAAACAGCTGGTGAGAACAAAAACAAGAGAAGACTCAAGTTCTTCCTATAGGCAAATATTTTAGCACACGCTTTGATAGATTTTTCTTCAGGGTAATGACTGAGCATGAGACTAAAATTAAGCAAATATATAACCTTCACTATCCTTAATGAGAGCTGAGTACATGCTTAAACTACAGAGTTCCTGTACTTTTACCAGTGATGGAACAAAATCAATAAGGATTCTCTGAAATATGTACATTTTGTATCCATATGATATAGATGTGATATTATATAACGTTTAAACATATAACTTCAGCTAGTCCATCCTTCTTTGTCTAGAATTTATGTTGAATGTAAGCAGGTGTTTCACAGTGGTGTCTCCCCACACAGGATGAGTATTTATTCTGTTACGAAGTTGTGCTGGAAGTCCTTCAGATCCTGCGAGCCATGGATTCCTACTAAGTATGATTCCTACAGTACGACTCTTCCTGTTGCTATTCCACTGGACTCCAGGGACTGCTCTGCAACTACTTGAAAGAGATGTCATGCCAGCACAGACAAGTGTTATATTATATGCTTTTTTAGATTACAAAGTAATTTAAAAACCTTGCTTAACATGTCCTGTGCAAGTCATTTATTTCTTGGCTCAAAGTATGCAGAAACAGCCAGCCAGCACTGCAACACTGCTGTGTCAAACTGCTATGGCCAATTTTTGCATTCTGTGTAATAACATATTCATTGTTAGGGACATGTGTTGGGACTGTAGCAAGGATGTAGCAGCCTGTGGAATTAGCTTTAGTATCCAGAGGGCAACTATAAAGATCTAAGATTCTGTTGGTGTTAGGGTAAGATTAGTTGTCCCTCATCTATTGTTGTGCACTGTTTGCTTCTGGACTGCGAATCAGTGTTTACTCCACCAGTTATGCTTTTGCATGGAAGGACTCAGTTTGGTGACCTTTGGTTGCTTGAACAATGTAGGACCATTTCCAGCCCATGAGTTTATGCCACTATCACCAGACATCTTTAATCAAGAAATTGACATAAAAAATAGGATGCCTTTAAACCCTGGTCCTCTTCAAAGGAAGAGCATTCTAATAATTGGATGGAATATTAATTTTTTCCAGCAATATGAACAGATGTAGATAGCACCAATATTTTCATTCCACATCCATAGAAAAAGAAATGCAATTCTAAGCCCAGTGGAACAACTGTGTGTGCGTTGTGGTACACACAAACATTTCATCTTTCCCTAATCCTTTACATTGATTAACTATCTTCTCATTCTTACCTAGGATCTGAAATATGGGATGTCCTGGTGGTTTCAGCTGGGGCTGAATCAGATCTTTAAATTAAAGAACTCTCTGTACAGTTAATTTTTCTTGTAAAAGTGTTTCTGTTCGTGTGGGTGGATTTGAACAGAAATCTGCTGTTCAAGGTGTAAGACTGCATTTTTTTCCCATTTGTTGTACTACTAAGTCCTTATCTAGAAGGTGACATATGGAAGTGATTAGATATGCATTAGAAGATATGCATTATTAGATATATTTACAAGGAATGCCTATTATTAGATATGCATTTCTTGTAAACATAGGAAACTGAAAAAATCTAACTAAATTGTATATATTTTTAAAACTTGGTTTCTGCAAAAGAGAAAAGATTATGAGGCAGTGGGTATAAAACTGCAGTTGAAGCAAGAAAATAAAATAACTATTTATTTTATTACCTATTATGAATTAGAGGTTTATAATTCAGAAAGAATGGGGTATCAAATAAAAATTTAAAGCATGGCTTTTAGAAAAAGCCACTGTAATACAATTATAATTAAGGACAAGGCCCATTTTTTCTTTCTGCTCTCCAATAGTCTGAAGGCAGTCTCCAATATAGAAATGCAATTATGTGAGTCAGATGCTAATTTCAAACTTTATTAAAAGTTCCAGAGCAATGCTAAATAAATTCAGGAATAACCCTAGATTTATATTGATATAAACATATAAAGAACTCAATGTTTTGTCTTAAATTCATTGAATTTGGTCCTTCCTTGAAGCATTACTCTCCATGTATTCTGCATTTATTATCTCTGTGTTGCATACGAAGGTTTGTTCACACAATTTTGTCAATTTTCAACAGCCAATTTTTTTCTCATAACTTTTTTACCTTCATTTGGTATTTGGCCTTTCACTTTAATTACTTCATTTTGATAGGCAATCAATGCATTACACTGTAATGAATACACAATTCATCTTTTGTACCACAATAATTTAATAAGCTTCCTAGTAAAAATATTCCTGTATTTTATGCAAAGGTGGGTTTTTTTCTGTGGCTTAGAACAAGTATTCTGGACTTAGAAGACAATCCTCAAAGGTCATTATTTGTACATCATCTTTGCAGCTGTTTGACAGATGTGCTTGCTGTTTGACATAAGTTTTTCCTGTTTTACAGAGATATTAAAAAGATTTATTAAAACAATCTGCTTAATTTCAATTTCTTTTTATAAAAAAAGCAGCTGCAATACCTAACTATTAACCAATTTGAGCTCTAGAGAAAATATTTTATTCATGAGGGCTTGTCTGTAAACTTCCTCCAAAGGCAGATTTTGTGATGATGTATAGTGGAATGTGGCCACATCCAGCAGCTGATAAGCATTTCCCCACACACACAGCACAACTGAGTGTCCCACCTCTGAGTTCTTTATTCATGCACACCTCCCTGGAGATTGAGGCTCACTGATTTGCATTCATTTGGAACAAAAGATTACCCACTCTTTACAGAGATCACACTGCTTGACCAGTCAGGATACACTGAAAAGAAAGGAAAACCTACTGTCTCATTTCATTCATAGGCAAGTGAGGCAGTGGTTGGTGATTTGTCCAAGGTTTACAGAGTTTTGGAAAACTTGGGAACTAAACACAGATGATAAAACCTCTCATTCTTTGCCTACACACAAAGCTATCTTTCCTCCGTCAGAAAAGAGGATCATACTGCTGTGGATGATTTCTGACGAGATATTATTTAGCACATGAAGTGCTCTGACTGGAATTTTGCACACACTCAAATGTGCAGGAGATGTGTTATGGCAGAGAACCTCAGTCTGTGCCAATGGTCACCCTTCTTACTTCAGAAGTGGTATTGAGATCACCCTTTGTGCTCTAACACCTGGTTGCCAATCAGGACAAACTGCAGTGCAAATGTGAACAAAAAGAGCACGTTTATTGAAGACAGTGCCTGCCATAACAAGCACACCAAAGAAGTAAATATATGCTAGTCCTCAGATTCGTACTGTAACTCAAAACCTTGTCAGTCATACTTTGTTTTCAGCCAGTACCTCTGTCCACAGAACAGGACAACTTGTAATCATATTTTGGAGAAGTTTTACCAGCACTGAGTCTGCTGTTAAGCTTTTTTATAGCTACCATTTTATCTCAATTTAAAAGCAAGTACAGCAAGAACAACCACTGCATAGCTGCAAGGTTACAAAATCATGTGTGTAGGGGAAAACAAATGTCCACATTTTTCTATTAACACTTTCATTGAGTTCCATGGACCCAGAACTGCTTCATGCTGATGTCTCTGTGTACTCTAGTACCCCATCTGCAATGGAAAAAGATACCTGAAAATACCCACACCTGACAAAATGGGTGTTACTGTCTACAGGAGCATTGTCAGGTATAAATAATCGACTTGTCCTAATATAATCATGTTTCCTTTAAAATTTCTTAGAAAGCCTGAGCGACCAGCCAGTAATTTTTTTCTGCCTTTTCAGCTGAAGTTTATGGCCTCACTGACCAACAGGCCCTTCTGTGTCAGAACTAATACAGCAACTGCAGAGGGTCCGTCCTGAAAAAGAGCAGCAGTCGCTGCCATCTAGGGGGCACATCGCGACAGCGACAGGGCGAACTGCAGCCGGTCGCTCCTGCCCTGGGCACAGACCCACTCCGTGTCGCTCAGCTGCAGAGCAAACACAGCCAGATAAATCTAACAGGGGGCTTGCAGGCAGATTCCAATTGCTAACTGAAATTATGCCACTGCGACTTCTTGCCTATACCTACAAGTGCAGCTAGGGGCTCTCACGGGAACATTCTTTCTATTGGATAACAGAAATACCGAATGGAATTATTTTCTCAGGAAAAAATAAAAATCATTCAAATGACTAAAATGGGGCACCCCTTCCACAGACAGGGTCTGCACAGTGTGTTGCACCCACACTGGATGCTTGCTTGCTGCAGCACAAATCAGAGTTCCCAACATCTGAAGAAATGTAAATTTATCTATACTATTCTCTCTTCCTTTAAAGTGTTAGCATTATTAAATAGTACTTTGCATAATCTCAGTGTCTTAATTATTGGAATTACACAGGAGCAGCAACTCCAGCTTCAAGACACTCAGTTACTCGTGAAGGATAATGGTACTTCTCACAGCTTAAATCTCAAAGCTGGACACATCATGAAGACTGCCTGCCTACTGCTTGCAAAGTTGACTAAATATTATTGTAATTGAGCTCTTTACACAGAAAAGAGAGCTCACCCTTGCAGGCTAAGCAGACAGAGTTAGAGTCCACTATTAGATGAATCTTTTAAATGTCCAGTAATGTGTGTGATGGAAAGGCACAGCACTTATAAGATATGTGTAACCCTGAAGAGCGGTTTGCACATAATCTTGCATGGGTGTAGTTTTGTAGGGTTAGAATTAAGCTTGTGAAACTAGAAAAGTATTCTGTCTTGTCATACTGATATATGAGAATATATCACTTACTTTGTGCACATCAGGAATAATAGAACCTCATACTTCATTCATGCTTCTCCAGGCCCAACAGCATGGAAAAACTAGCACTGGATCCGAGAACCACAACTCAGAACAGCTGAGACGGGAAGGAAGCTCTGGAAACTGTCCAGTGTAAACCCTCCAACTCCCAGCAGTGTCACCTCGAGCTCAGGACTCTATTCACGTGGGTTTTGGGTATCTCCAGGATGGACACTCCTTGACACCTCTAGGCAACCTGTTCTGCTATTTGGCCATCTTCAGTGTAAAAAAGGTTTTTTCTGACGTTTAAAGGAAATTTCCTGGGTTTTAGTTTGTGTCCATAGCATCTTGTCCTGTCTTTGGATACCACTAGGAGAAATCTATTTCTGCTTATATATCTCTTTACTCCCCACCATTTAGGAATTTGTACATATTAGTAAGATCCCCCTGAGCATTCTCTTCCCCATGCTCAACAGCCCAAATTCTCTCAGCTTCTCCTTACACAACAGACGTTTCTTAATTACAATTACTTAATCATCACACTGGCCTTAATATGCAAGTACTGGTTTAGAGAGATTATAAGATTCCATCCAACAGCTACATCCAACAGCCTACTGAAATTAGGAGGTAGAGTTTTTGGTGCCTATTGACAAGCTATAGCTGCAGTTTTAATACCACTTAAGGACCGATCAAGGCCTGAGGAAACAATTCAGGAGATTAAGAAAAGATGCAGAGTATGGAGCCTGATGTCAGTCTGAAACATCTGCCAGCAATCATCTCTACCTTTTTACATAGTCTTAACAGT